ATCGACTTAATTTTAAATGAAATTAGCTTAAAAGTATTTTAAAGAGTTAATCTTTTCATTCATTTATAATTTTTTTTATAAAAAAAAAGCAGCTTTATCGAGTTCGTTTAAATTCCACTCAGGTCTTTTTTATATTAATATCTTTAGAATAAATTTTGATTAAAGTCGATATATCGATTCGGTCTTGAGATATCGAAAACGAAAAAAATGCTGACATCCGTCTATACGTACGTACGTTCGTTCACACACACATCATTCCTAAAATTGGTCAGTATGCTTGCAAATATCTTGAAACGTGGAGATATGATGAAAATTCAAATTTCATCAATCGACCCAATTACACTAACTTCCTAATGAGAAGTTAATGAAAAAACTTTTTAAAAACAATGGGAAAATGAATGATTAAATTTAGCTGGAAAATGGCTTTATTAAATAATAAATCGTGGGTTGAATGTTTCGTTTCATACTTCAATAATTAAAAAAAAATATTCGCAATTATCACAATCCTAAATATGCTTTAAAATAATGTAGGAGTATAAACATAATACATAAATAAATTACTGTCTCTCGTTTTTATCTTATATTCTACATGAGTTGATTCATAATATTTAAAAGGTTAAAAGAAAAATTCGGATCAGAGATTTCTTTCTTCCCATGTAATAAATAATAAAATTGTTCATTCTTTATCCTACATATTTTTTAATTTTATCTTCCTGCTTCCTTATCTACTTGAAACAGACTCACATTATCACAATGTTGCACCTTAGTAACATAGGAAGCTAAAATTCTAGTTTGGCAGATTAAATATTTAGGTAGATCAAAAAGTTTATGTCTAATTAGAAGGTAAATTTACAGAGAAAATAGAGCTTCTTATGTTCTTAAAGAAATTTCATTTGCAGTAAACAAATTTTGTAATACTTATTAGTTAAACATTAACAGAAAAATGTTTTTTTTTTTTAATTTTCATATTATATATGAATAACAAACTTTTCAAGGTGTTTGTGAGAGCATTGAAAAATGACAGTTGGTCAATAAACGTCCTTAAAACTTTTGTTTGATACTTCTAAAAAAGTTTTTATCCTTTTACATATATATGCAACACCTAACAGGCTGAGAAACACTTCCTTGAAACTCTAATTTTTTTTCTACTCACCAGTGCATGTTCAAGATGCTTCAATGTTGCTTAGTAAAAGTTGTCAACAAAAAGTAACTTTTATAACCATAAGGCCATACAACACAATAAGCATCAAATTAAATAGCTCACTTTCACACAGTAGAAGTTGACTTTTTTCAAATTTCTAACAGCAAACTTGGTAATTAAAAACCAATTAATTATTACTTAAGGGAAAGAGAATGAAAGCAAAAAATGCGCTAATCTTGGAGGAATTCTGAGGCTAAAAGTCTTTTTTGATATCGGAAACAATTTTGATTAACGATAATACGAATTTTATTTTAATATAAAATGAGTAATGTTTGACACGTGTGTCTGACACGTTTTCAACGGCCCCGAGACTCTCTTCCGACCTGCGCCAGATCCAAAGGCAGACTCTGTCCGTCGTGGCTTCCACCAGCAACTCAACCCACGGAGTTTGGACCGTGTGTGTTTCCCACTACCATACCATTAGCACAACGATCGGCGTAACCGTAACCAATGATGCTGACCCTGATTGATGTCGCCCTCAACTGTTTATCTATATATTTTTTCTCACTACATTTCTTTATTGCCAATAATCACTAATCCATGACATGGACTGGATTATGTCAAATTTATGTAATATTAGTAATTATTTAGTATAAAATGCTAGTAAAGGTTCTAAATAACTCATTGTTAAATTGTATTGAGAAAATAAAGAAATGAAAGAAACAAATAAGAAAACTGGTTGCTGAGTTGTGGGAAGTAGTAACAAATCCATAGAGGATCCAATGATTTAATTGGATATGTGTAGTGATATCTGTAAGAGAAACCGGAATTGGCCTTGAGGGAGAATGATAGACCACATGAGTACAAATGTAACTTTTTTATGGACTCCATTTATTGGAATCACATTTTTTTTGTTTATTTCAATTTTTTTAAGTTTTTATATGAATGCCTTTGTTTGTCAAGACCTGCAGTGAATTAGTCGATACAATGTTTTATTTATTAATGAAATTTTTTTTACTATTTAATAACTTTAGATATGTACAGTTTTTTTATTGCAGTCTCTATTCTCGTTGACCTTAAGCATTATGTGGCATTTAGTATTTTGAATAAAGAGCTTTATTTTTTTGCTTTCATTCTCTCTATCATGCCTTTCTTTTGGTACACATTTAATAGCTTTTTGTTAAACAATATAAGTCATAAATATTGAATGACAATGATTTTTCCTGTTATAATCAAGAGAAAAGATCACTTTTTTTGGGATAGAGATAATATTTTTTATTAAATATATAAAACATGAGATATATTTTTTATAAAAAATATATTCATTTTCTTTTGTTTGAAGGAAAAATATGAACACAGAGAAAAACTCATCTATTCACATCATAAGCAAAGAGAAATATAAAAAAACTGCTTTATTATCATTATAAGAATTTTTATAGTAATATTGAAAAAACAATATAAATTTGTATTCTAGATAGAAGTTATTTTTACCATCTTTCATGAAAATTCATCCAATTTTTTCAATTTCATTATTTAAAATGAAATAAAATTTCAACGAATTATGCCATTCGAAATATACTGATACCATATGTAATTACAGCAAAAGGAGTCCAATTACACCAATTTATATCAAACATTTCGAAAAAAAAATTTAAATATATATGGACGTCAATGTATATACAAATTGTGGGTATATTAAGTCACTTACAAATAAATTTTTTTTTTACTTATCAAACGTAAGTATAAATATGAAAAGAAAATGTATAACATTATTTAAACTCATTGAGTAATTCGAATTTTATTTTATCGTTATCGCGATATTTTTCGAGAAGAAGGTGATGTTAGTAAATTTGCATAAATTTGTTGAAATATGTTGCAAAAAATTAAAGCGATAACTGGTACTAACTTACTGACAATAAGTATATTAAACCTTGACCAAGAACCAAGAATAAGACCTTGCTGCACGAAAATCATAAAAAATCTTGAGCTCATAGATTGTCTGATGTTGATGTTGTCGTAAACACGCGAGTTCTCAGACCAATTTTATATTTTATTTCATATAAATTTAAAACCTTCAAATAACCACTTGAGAATATTTTTTTCCACTCAACTTATTTACTGACATTGAAATTTCTAGGGGAATTAACTTATTATTCTCAACTTGATGCTTGAAGCCAGTCGTGTTATACGATAAGTGCAATTAAAAAATAAACAGAAACCAAAAAGCAAATTATACCTCGGTAACTTTAATTTTCGTTTTGAAAAACAATTATTCAATTACATAAATCTCTCCAATTATTCTGCACTAATACTCATTGTCTAGTTGCAATATGTTAAACTATTGATAAAAAAAATCATTTTATCATATATTTACAATTCGAGCAGCTTATAATGAAATATCAACTGTTTTTATTTAAAAAATTAACAATGGCTTACCATAAAACCATAATCACACTTAATCATTTCGATATTGAAATGTTTTTAGTTCAAATTCAACACTCACTAGTGAAAGTGGTGTTAATTTTTAACTCAACTTAATACCAAAATGAACGAGTTTGAGTAAAAAATACATTATTTGATGAGCTAGCACGCACGATAGCTGTGAATTTCATCGAAATTAGTTTATTTTTAGTAATTACATTAAATAAAGCAAATAAACATAAAGAATCTTGTTTTTTAATGAGGTCAAGATAATCTAAATTCCATCAAACAATAGCAGATAATAAATTTTTCATTGTTAGTTATATTTTATACCGTCAATCTTTCATCACGAAAACAGAGAAATTAGTTGGTAGAAATAAGTAGCAAGTTTACTCAAAGTTTAGTTTCTGAATAATATTTACTGGGCAATAACTTGAATGTTGGGTAAATAAATACAACTAGTCAATAAATGAATGAGAAGGAATATGAAAACTACAAAAAGTGCATAGATGACCTGCAATGTACAAAAATAGATTCTTTAACAGCCTAGCTTTGATGTGCTTTAGTCATGTGTGTGAAACGTGGCGCTAAAACCATTACAAGCTTAATGAAGCAACGGTTTTCGTTTTTTCAATATCGATAAATGAATGCCTTTACTGAGGACTTGGGCTTCTGTGAAAGCACTGAACTGTTCCTACTATTTATTGCATTTTTTCAATTGAGCATTTTAATAATCAACACTTCTACGGTACGAGCACAGAAGTAATGAATTATAAATGAAATTTTATTGAACGGCAATGATGTAATAGATTTATCATTTGAGTAACTATTCATATTATTTGAAACATTTATCTATTTTTCGCTAAAACAAATGCAGATATTTGGTTGAATACTATCGAAATTATCGATATAATTGTCGAAAATTTCATAGCTGCATTCTTGTGCTAAACTAATTCTCCAACATCACGGTACAAATATTTTCATTCGTAAATTTCATTATAACTTAATAATGCAAATATTTTTCAAACTGAATGGGAGTTATATTTTTGTTTATTCATCGATTGATTAATAGTTTAACAGTATGTAATTATTACTCCAATGTAAGATTCCAGCGCTACAAATAACACCCACGGTCAGTTTTATTGATCCGATGATGAGCGTTGTGGTAAAAATATCTATTTGCATGTCGATACACGTAAATATATAGTATTGAAAACGAAAGTCACAAAGTGAAAGAAAGAAGGAAATTGAAATGAATTAGATAATAACTGCTTGTTATTGTATCGTGTGATGACATCCTTGAAGAAAATGCATATAATCATGATACTATCACCGTTATTTTGTCATGTTAAAAAAGGGAAAAAGTGGGACACTAAAATATGAAATTTTTTTAGCCATCTTTTTGATAGGATGTGAAATTAACATTTTATTTACTCACCTCGGGATATCACCAATGTGTGGGGGTCGACTTTTGCGGGGGCAGACTTCACTCCAACCATTGCATGCTACAACACAAATGTTATTTGTATGTCTTAGACGGTATTTAAAAATAGATAGGACTTTTTGTTGCTAGTAATTATGCAAATATTTTTTTTGGGTCATTTAAGTTGACCTTTACAGCTCATTGTGAATTGTAAATACAAAACTATATATTTTTTAGGGATTATGTTCAACATTAGTAGAACTATTATGAGAAAAATTTTGCTATTGAGCTCAAATAAAAGCTTATGTATGCTCCTTTTCTGATTTTATCCTCAGTTCTCTCACTGCACAATTTGAGAGTCTGGCTTGGTCGACAAAGCTATTCTGTATGCAAAGCAGTGAACTGAGGACGAGAAGGAGCCTTGGCATTTGCTCGGATGCACGTAATGGCTTCTGGGATGTTAATGAGGTTTCGAAATTTAACAGCAACCTACCAATATCACTGTAATTCGTTGCGCAACTCTGCGGATGTTAGCCATAATCATAAATTCAAGTATCAATAATATGAAAGTACAATGAAAAATTTTATTCTATCTTTGATTGTATTTAGTCCAGCATAAAATAAGAAAGTCTGTCAAATGCAGGACTATGTTTTTATTTGAACATAATAAGTATAAAATAGAATATTTAATAATGGCAAGTCTATCAACTTTGTCGTTGTTATTTGAATGTTTTAATTATTTTTTTTTAAGTACGACTGTAAAGGCAACAAAAGACAATTTAAATGCTTTGTAATGACTCTAGGCTAGAATGACGATAAAATTAATTTCATGATTCACAACATGGTTAGTAGCTAGAACTTTGTAGTTTCATTGGAGTTATTATGCTCAGTAAATTAATGAACAAGCGAGATATTCATCATGACTATCACAACATTGTCCTCTGACACTCTGTACTTGCATATTTCAGAATTCGCTACAGTAATTAACGATAATAGGACTTTTAGTATGATTACTTATAATTAAATTATGACATATTATCCATTGTAACCACTTGACCATTAACTACCTACGTATTTTTTAGTTTTATCTCTAAAAAAATTTCCCAATATGTTTTCAATTTATTTTAATTAGTACATGGTCTCTAATATTATTCATTCTATTTATTAATTATTAGTACAGTGAAAAAATATTTACTCTATGGAAGAAGATTTAAACTTTTCATTATTTTTTTCAGCTATAATCAAAAACTAAAATATTTTTTTAAGTGTAATTAGCTAGAATTAATGAATCTTCTTAAGTGCTTGTCATTTTTTTTTCACTCGAGTATAAAATATAACATGAATCTACTAGATTAAAACATAATTTACTTTTCATACAAATATAAAACATTGTAACAATGTTTTTTATCTATCAAAAAGAAGAATATCACTTTCAATCGATTTATTTGTTATTTAATATTGAAATTATTTGTTTTGATAATTAATAGTAAGAGTAAATTCTATCAATTAATTTAACAATTTTTATCCACTGTTGATTGATGGCATTCTGTAAATGTGAAATCTGTGCAATTTTTCTATTTTACTAATCAAATATCTACTCAAGGACACCTCAACTTATTTCAATTCTTTTCCCTACACGGAGAGAAGTTTTTCACTAAATGGAAGTGCAAAAATGACAAGTGCACGTTTCGAAATTTATACGTAAAAATACTTCTATTCGACAGTGAATTTGGGGTTGTCGTAAGTAATTTTGGAGTTACCTTAAGTAATTTTTTTACTAAGACACCTTTTAAGTCTTAAGTTAACTTACAAGAACTCAAAATTTACTATCGAATAGAAATATTTTTATTTATAAATTTCGAAACGTGCACTTGTCATTTTTGCACTTCCATTTAGTGAAAAACTTCTCTCCGTGTACTGATCATACTACATAGATTAACAGTAGAACCACTCTAAAAGTGAGAAATTTTTACCGGAAGAATCTCTCTGAGAGCTAAACCCCTTCGGTGGTTTTCTATCCCCACTTTATGTCTAAGTATTTCTATTTCTTTCATACAAACTATCTTTCTTACTCTGCGCAATCTATGCGCAGAAGTAAAAAACGGTATCCATATTAATTCGAATTCAAATTTTGCCGGTCTCAAAATTCAGTTTGATTAGGCAATCTGTCTTGAGAGTGGGAGAAAGCTCGACGGAGAAATTCTCACTCATAGAGAGGTCACCTACTCACTCTTAGAGAGGTCCCTCTTAAAGGGGTTGTACTTTAACATATTTTGAGGTCAAGCTCATTCAAAGTGTGACACCTACACTAAATAATTTTTAATTGAGTAGAAAAATATTCTTTTGCTTTTCGAATAAATAAAGATGCAAAATCCGAAGGTTGATGAATCATTCTTTCCTGATTACCAAACACTGTCAATATATTTGAATGAACACATTTGATACCGAAAAGTAAAATAAAGTCTATAAATACCAAGAAATAAACTCAAACTTTTTACAATATAAAGTTAAACTTCGATAAGTGTTTTCAGAAAGTAATCATTCTTAGATCTACTCTAATTTATTACAAAACTTTATTCTATATACTTCGATTAATAAAAATAGCATATCTTAACATATGTACTTTGTCTGTATTGACAGAATGTATTTCATGAATAAATGAAGTCATTTGAACAGAGCATTTTAAAACTGGAGATAAAATAATGATCATACTTTTGCCAATAAAAGTTTATGAATAAAAATAAAATTAACATAAAATAATTTAAAAAAGTTGAATCATTTTTCTTCAAATGTTTTTACAGTTATGTTTTATCTGGTGAATACATTATTTTTTATTATTGAATATACGTGAGTCATATCTATACGATAATGATGATAAATATGAATATTTATATTGATTTATAAAAATCACTTTTCTATGAAAATTGAGTAAAATTGTCTGTTACAGTGAAATAAAGTCATTTTTTGTGTATTCATTTGACTGAATCAATAAATTAAATTTTACATTATGATTTAATCATTTAGTAGTAAAATATTTTATTCTAACAAATACTTATAAAAAAATAATTAAATGAAAATCAGTATTTATTTAAAGACGATATTACTATTTGCTCTGTCGTAAGATGTGAAGAATTATAGTCTGGAATGATGTGAGTCAACATTTAAATGAAACAGAGCCCCGGATAACATTGGATAGGGAAATTGCTAATCTCAATCTGACAATGAAACATCCGTATTATCTCAGCAATATTCTTGTTCCTTCAATTGTAAATTTATCCAACCCTATTAATCATTATTAGACAAGCTGTAGAAAAATTTTCAGTGCTTTTAAACAGGCGAATTTTCATGAAATTTTCAAAAAACGATAATAAGCAAACATTATAATATAATCAAACTATAAATCTGGCAAAAAGTGACGTTGAATAATCTTCGAAGCTCAAAGATCTTTTAGAAAGAGTGAAAAAACATTCCCTCGAGGTTTTACACCTAAATGACATTTTTACTACGACTTTGCAAGCAGGACTTAAATATAATGAGACCTTGAAGAACCCTCCTACTCTCTTTAGCCATTTTTCACTTTTTTATCTTCACGTCTGTGACTATCTAGCTTTTGGAACAATACAAGTAGAAAAAAAACTTGAAACATACCATGTCAAATAATTACTGAGACTTTTTGTCATGTCTCAGAGAAAATTTGCAACATGACTTCTACCATATTATGCATTATTCCATCGGAAGATATTATTCCAGTAGAATAAATACGTACTCAGGATGCAATTTCTTTTCATCATACTATCAAATTAAAAATTCAATCCTTTTTTACATACCAATGTAAAGATTTCTTTCATAGAAAATTGTTTCATTCCCTAAATAGGTTGATTTATTATAACTGTTCAGTAGAACAACAAAATCCTTGAACAAAACATTTGCAATTCAAATCAAACTGGATCTTCAGAGATGAAATTCTCGACTAAAAAGCGCAATCACTGTTTAAATGAATGTCAGAACATTTATATTTGTAATTTTCTCTGAAGTAGCAACTTGAAAAACTTGATTTTAATTGAAAAAATATTATTTTAGAAAAGAAAAAGACAAAAGAAAAAAATCAATTTCACTCAGGATTGGAATAGAATGTAAAAGTTGAAAAAAATGTAAAAACTCGCCAGTCTTTTTTCAAGTAAATTGTTCGATTATTCCTCTGATATTTTTCGGGTGATATAAAGTCTATTGGTGACTTTAAAAAAATACAACAAAAAATTAATCTTCAATGTCTTTGACAACAAATAAAAATTTTTCTTTAAAACTTTCTAATAATCGTCTATTTTTGTAAATGTCAAAACTTTGATGTATGAAAACACCCCAACAAATTTTCGATTAAAGTGAAATTGAAAGGAAATGAGAAAAAAATAGTTTTTAGAGATAGCATGGTTTTTGTCGTGTGGGATGTCACATAAATTTTTTTTTTCTGTCATATCGTATAACTCATGGTTTGATCCTTCTATGTGATGAAAATGTAATTTCCTGAAGCATTGTCGTATTGAGGCTGTCACTAGAGTTAAATCGTTGTAATGTAAATAATTACCATAACAAATTTAGAGAACATAAATTCGTCTGCTCTAATAATTTCTACATGAAAATACACAACTCTTAATAAAAATAAATCTAATAAATAAATAAAACTATAAGAATAAAAATCAACGCCTCCTCGACATAAATGGTTGTAAGTTAAATTAAAAAATTTTAATCGCATTAACTGATAAAATAAATTTTTGTAAAATTGAATACTGTATTATTGATGGACATTTAATTTTCTTTGACAATCAAAAAGACTAAGTGACAATAAAGAGCTAAAGTCAAAAGAGAATATAAATAATTGATATAAATAAAAAATTCTCTTTACCAACCTTCTGTCGCTGTCATGTTCTCTCCAAGCTTCATTTCGATGATAAAGTTATTGCGATTTCAATTTCAATCCTTTTAGCTAGGAATACACAATAGTATCAGTGCTTGAAATTTTGAATTTATTCCGTTTGGTTACATACTCACTACCTAATGACCAATTTTTTTTATCAATAATTTTATTCAATTAAAATTTCAGAAAGAAGTCTTCAAATTTATATAATTTTTTGATATTAATATTCAGTATTGCATATTCTTGGAATAATTAAATCTTTCAAGAGGGTTTTCGTCTCTTCATTAGATGCAGAGTTCGTTAATGAAACAAGCATCAATAATGCATGATTTAGTTCCAATACTTTCTTTTTTAGCTTCACTTTTTGTGACGAAAGTGATTATTAATTACATTAGTATCCAACTAATTCCCATTTACTGATTAAATATCCGATAAATCTCTGTCTCTTTAAATTGTATTTTTAGTTGCACTTGAATACTTTCAATTAAGCACTGGTGTTAAAAATGTAATGCAGTGGATCAATTTTGTTTGATGAATTACTACAGCCACGTTATTTTTTAACAAAAATACTGTCTATTTACATATTTCTTCTAATAATTTTTTCATCAATTATTTAACATATTTTTCTTTTTTCCTTCGTGTTCTTCCGTCATCATCTCGAATGCGTTGTTCTTTGGTTATATCTCTATTTGATTTTATGGAACAATTGCAGTAGTTTCGTATTGCATTGTCTTGAAACTGTAAAATAAATGTATATTTTTGTGAAAATCATTATTGTCTTATGTTGCTATAAAATGCTTTAAAAATGAGATAGAAAATGTAAATGACCATGATGATGTGATGAATAGTAACAAAACATCGATAAAATATACTATAGATCGGCTAACATTTCACATATGTTGACCCAAGTGCGCCCTACATTCTGACTATAAATTTCATCTATCACTTATTATTTTATTTTTTTCATGTAATTCTTAGTAGAGATATATCAGTCTCGATATACTAGAATATATATTACTTGTAGATTATAGATGATTGAGATTCAACCGTGAAATTTTCAATAAAACACTCGTATTACTTTTTTGAAGAACTAATTGCAACGACAAAAGGTCTATAGAAAGTTATTTAATGAAATTAATTACTTCAGGAAGCCGATAAAGTATTTACAAGTAAATTCATCCATAAAAACTGATATTAATGTAATCTAGACCAATTTGGCTTGGTCCCAAAATGAAGATATATCAGACAAAAAATTATTTTCTGCGGATAATTTTTTTCAAGGGCAAGTTTACTGTTGAATAAATCAATAGGACATATCTAAATACATTAATTTTTCACGATGACTTGATTTTACAGATAATGCATATAAAATGATGGCTGATAAAAGATAATTGCATGTTTAACAATCATGCAGAGATACTGTGAATTAATTATTTACATTCTACATATAAATGAAAATCAATAGAAATGATTGAATCATGAATATTTTGAATAAATTATCACCCAAATAAATCAAAGATCAAATCTCAAAACAGTCTTAACTTCTATTGTGTCTTAAAAAATAATCAATACGAGTGACAAAGAGCTTAAAGCTGCAAGCTGTACAACTATAAATAGGCACTAAAAGCAACTGTTACAGTAATAAGAAACATCTTTATTAATTATTCTAAAACTATAATTTATTTGACGGTGATCTCGAAGGATGTCTTACGACCTGTATGAGAAAATCATTGAGACTACATACGACCAACATAGTCAAGTAGATCAATTTTTTTTGAATTTTATGACTGTCCATACAAGTCTTATAGTTAAAATCGATAATGTTAATAAAAGAAAAGGGTATAGACTATAGGATATGAATTCTAGACAATGGTCCATTCATAGGGTATATTTTTTTACTTTTATCTCAATTTTTCATGCTCTTCTATTCTATTGTTCTAATTTCTCCTTTTAGTTTCACTCACGTGAGCATCGTGTCATCAGCATTTGTGATATTCCTGCGCGTTAGGCTTGCGCAATTGTATCGACTACTTTTGATCAATTATAAAGATCCATGTAATGAATAAAATTATGAGTAAAACATCAGAATTTAATTGGAATATATTTTCAAAATTAAAAAACTTTACGCTCGGTTGATGTATTAGTTGAAGTGGAATGTTTGTTAGTAAATTTAATTATGTCGAAAAGCAATAAGATTTACAACCAGTGTACAAAAGCAATTTATGCAAAGATAGGTTGACTAAAATGACAATTATATAGTCTAATTAAATAACGTTTCCATAACATATAACAATTATTGTTGGAATTGTTATTACTTTGTTTCTCTAAGGTTTATTGCAGAATATTTTATTTATGAATTAACAGTTATTATGTTTGAGCAATTTCCATAAATTATTCATCAGTAAGCATGTTGAATCTTTGAAATTGATCCATGCATATAATTCTAACGAGAAATTCTGACTACTTTTGGATTATCAAGTGTTGTATGCAGTGAATTTAAAATTATTTTGAGGAAAATTTGATTTCCATCATAAATTGTGGTGTTTTAATAAATCTTTTTATTAGGCTAATCTTTTATATTTTTTAAGCGAATAATTTAATCAGCTACTTCCTTTTCATGACTAAAAAACTTTGTAATTTTACATACTTCGTGATTTTTATTTTCGCTCAAATATTTGAAGTCGTTTATACGACTTATTTTATTTCAAGAAAAAATTATGCTCAATAAATAAAAATACTACTTTATTGAACTTCAATTTCGGAGTATTATTTCCTTCTCTCTTAATTATATTACTCACATCAGTATTTATCTGATAAATCTCTCCAAAGAAATGTAAAAAATATAAGAGGGTGAAGAAAAATAAATAAAAATACGCAGGGTCAACTTGTGAATGGTTCTAGTATCATATAAATATGGTATATTTTTTAAATTAGTCCAGCCAGTATAGGAGGCCTTGCTCTATTTGTGTCAAAATATCTGCAATAACCAATAGAAAAAATGTGTCTAAAAGTGAAAGTGAGTTGATTTTTTTTCCATGATTTTTTCAGATTTTAGTAGTCCCGTGTATCTAAGCGAGATAGTGCTATAGGCAGCGCCACATGTTAGAAAAGGACATAACTAGTCTACATAAAAGCAATGTATTTCTTATAAGAGATTTCTTTTTTTTAGTGATTAGTTTTTATTGTTTTTTACGAAAAATATAGAATATCATGACAATAAATGATATTGTATATCTTTGAATTTTATTTCTTGAAAATGAAATGAACACCAATCAAAGCAAACAACTAATTATGTAATATATTATTTTCATACACTAAATGGAAGGAAGTAGCAAGCCAAATTTCGTACTCTTCTGTGTAAACTTTTTGTTAATTTTCGAGAGTCACAGATAAATAAAAAAAAATTAAATAGATTAAAAACTGTAAAGGGTTTTGTAACACAAGGGTAAACAAAATTGATTTATACCGTGGGGTAAGAGAGGGTAAAGTGGAACGCAGAGGCAAAGTAAAACGCTTGAAAGAATATACTAATTTATTAAAATAAGTTTAAAAACGCTTATTGTACTTTTTGTTTATCAATTTTTCAATTTATTAATGCATTAGAAATTATTAAAATGCGTTAATATAATAGTTAATTCGTTGATTTACTTTTTTTATTAGTGTTCGACTTTACCCCACCTTCCCCTATGTTTATTCAAATATATAGTTAATGATTATGGTACTCCGAATTAATGTGTCACTATTAAATAATTTGAATTGATATTAAAGTCAATTTTAATGAACTTTACTTCATGTTATTGATTTATAGATTTTTCGAAGCATCAAAAGTTACTTAGTGCCTTGAGTTCACTTTTCAAATTGATGGAAATTTAGTTTTCTTTTTTCAATAGAACTTATTCAGACTCTTTAATGAATATAATGTTTTTTATAATGCATTTTTATTTTAATATTCAATTATTGACTGCACTGTCAAATTACTTCATTTTAATTTTTAAGAAAAATATATAAATTTACATTTTTGAATTTTTATTGAAAAATTATGAGAATAGATATTGCAAAAATACGCGTCATGTAGAATTAAAGAAACAATATTAATCAAGTTTTTATAATGTAAATTTTAAAAAATCATTTCAGTCCTTATTTAACATAAAACTCAGCTAACTAAATTAAAATAGAGAGTATAATCATTCTTGTAATTGTCTCTTCAAATTCATTACACGTAAAATTACTATTTACATTATTACTTAAACATTCCTTCATATCTGTAGATTGTTATTTTAAATTTAGCCATCAGATTTGCTACTTAATAAAAAAAGAATGACTAAATTTTATTTCTCCGATATATCCTATAGGAGAAAATTTATTTGGACAATTAGAATGGGACAAATGTTGTGATAATTTTTACGAATCCAATAAGAGTAAACTCATAAAGTGAATTAAAGAAAATTACATTGATGGTGTATACCCAACAAAAGTCAAACTGATTGACTTAGTCATCTGCGGAAAATGGATTCCTCACCAACTGGCAAACAGAAGCCAATGGACTTGACTAAATGTGCTAAATTCAATAATTATTGATGAAGTTACGCACAATTGTAGTTGTTATGATTCATTAGAATATCGAACTATCGAAAATATAAATTATCACAAAAAATATATTGAAGTTGAAAAATTAAAATATGTACAGCTATCAAAAAAGAAAAAAATAAAAATAATCGTAGTATTAAAATTTATTTTTAGTTCTACATGTATTTTCGGAACTACATGAAAAATAAATAAATGAAAGTAAAACATATATCTAGAATTTTTAAACAAAGCATAAAATTCTTTATGAAAAATTTTTAGTTTAAAAAATAACAGACTAGAGTTTGTATCTATATAAAAAAGATTTATATTAAAACACGTATGAAATTAAAGAGTTAAAGGTAAAAAGATGAAAGCATAACTTTATTTAGAAAATATGAATAATAATAAAAGTGGATAGAACTAATGAAGTTCATTTTCATTTAAAGTCAGATGCATTTGAAAGTTGCATAAATATACGAAGTAGTTATCACGCATGTTCAAGCTCCCACTTTACTATTCTTTCTCCTACCCTTAAACTTTTAGTCTCTTCAAGGCCATTGGTAAACTAACCCCTGTTAGAGAGAGCTTGTCAGCCCCTTAACCGATTCACATGTTGTCGACGTAATCTCAAGATCAAGTATAATATACCGTGTATGTTATATCACGTAGTCACGTACAAAATCAAGTCTATCAAATATGACTCCAGATGATTACTGCTCGTTTTTAACACTTCCACTAAACCTGTCTTTAAACTTCATTCTCTAGAACTATTATAATTTCTTCAGCAATTGTTAAATTATTTAAACGAATTTTTCAGCTAATCATTGATAAGTAAACCAATAAATTTTTTCCATTATCTTTTACATTTTTTATTGATAAAACGGAAGGTAAAAAACGTAGTAAACATTCATCTAGAGTACTGTCATGCTTCAACAACATGATGAAATGAAATGGTAATCAAGATGGCACTAAATGAACAATTAGATAGATTTATACCGTTTTTCTCTGCAATACCAATTTCTCACGTTCATGCAACATCCTTTTGTCGGCATTATTTTTGTTTTTGTTGAGATCAGAACGACGTACACCCGTCGTCGACAAACGTCCACGGTCGACTAGTCCCTCAGTAGAACGATGATTTCGTTTCATCCCCACTCACCCAGAATATTATCCCTAGTCTCGTCAATTTCCCCTCCAGTGTCATCCCTCTCCACCGTCGACGCTACGTCGCTATGTCGTTCTGACGGATTCTCTTCCGTTGGTCAATGTATAATAACATCATGTGGAAAACCACCAGCACTTGCTACTCTTATGTACTTTGTTTCTCGAAGTAATGTTACTTCTCAGTGACAGGATATCAAATTGTGAAACTGTTTTAGCTTCAACTACTGCTATTGTGCATAATAAATCTATTAAAAGAAATATGTAAAATTACATTAATTCTTATTCTTTTTTAAAGCAGAACAAGTAACAATTTAGATGGTAAAAAAAGGAATTTTTCTATCCATTATTTTACCAAGTAATTTTAAAGTTAAATAAAATTTTTTATTTTTATACAATACATTTTTTACTGATCATCGATCGGGATACATATCAACACTTCATGTTAAATGTTTATTTTATAATAAAACTTTGAAAACTTCAAATATTCTCTAGAAGAATACTTGTTGAAAAAAGAATACTTTTATTATTACAATAAATATATATAGTATTATTGAAACTTTTCAATATACTCCGCTTTAGGTTTAAATTTTTTTTTACAGATTTTTATAGGAAAAAAACTGGATTTTTCTCGAACTATCTGTATTTTATTTAAATTTATATGTTCAATCTCCAATGAACTCGTATAAAAAATTTATGCATTTTCAATTCTCTAGAGCGAAGCTTCTAAGGTTTAAATTATACATAGGACTTACACTAGTATACCATCATTGGACAATGATATCAATTCGATTTTTTATGTGCTCAATAAAAAATGTAAAATAGGATCAGAGAACAGGAATAAAGAGTGAATATTTTAAATCAACCGTAAAGGCGAGCAGAATAATAGATAAATCGTTTAGATAAATAAATTATTTTTTGAAACTTAGAAAAAAATTTTCAATCTTATTTACAAAATTAATCAGTATAGGCTTTTTAAAAATATAGTCAATTTAATTTTCAATTAATACAAACAGATTTTCCTGTAAGATTTTTCCGCATATCCATTATACATTGATTTATCTTTTATGTCCACTATATTATAATTTATTTATACGTAAATGGAGTAGTTTTTAGAGCTTATGCTTTACATCTATATTTATTATTAAAAATATACATAATTTCGTGATAATATTAATGAGAGAATAGTCCATTTAATGTCACTTCAAATCTCTCTATCAGTTTTTTTTATTCTCATTCTATTAGCTTATCAGCTTATTATTTCAATGTAAATGATATTAAAAATTTATTATAAAACTCTCTATCTATTGATCTGTTCAGCCATAATAAAAATTCAATGTAAAAAATGATAAATATTTGATAATTTAATTTTGAATAAATTTAAAGGGTATAGTTCAAACAATAGAATATCACATTTCTTTATCAAAAAAATTTCCAGGGTGAGTTTGGAGCTAAATATGGTATTTTAACTTCGCATTGTAATTACGAACAAAACAAGTTCCATAAAAGGATTTCATTCGAACTAGCATACTCACAGTATGAGCTTCTGAATTTCAATAGCTGGTATCATAAAATGACCTTATTAAAACTATTCTGCCTCTTTTCCTGTGTCTTTTCAAAAGAATAACATGTATTGGCCAATTACTTTTTTCTGTAAGGTGTTGGATAATCTGTAAAGATAGGCCCAGTCGAGGCAAAAGCACCTGGTCCACCGAGTAATCCTCCTTTATTTGACCAAAATCCGTTGCCACCGAATAAACCACCTGGCTCTAATCTATTAGTATAGAAATCGCTATTATCAAGGCCAATAACATTAAGAAGTCTATTTATATTAGGAAATTGTTTAGCAGTAACTTGATCATCTGGTACTATAAGTCCAAAATTTATAAGAATCTGTTTGAGTTGGTTGAGACGATCTTGGAAAAACATTTGAGGTGAAAATTGAAATTTCTGCAGCAGCGTCACCAAAAGAGTTGAGAGTAAATTGTTATTATTATTAAAATTAGTCAAATTATTACTCAATGTTGTAACTGGAGTTTTCACAGAAGTTTGTGCATCTGTTAAATTATTGATTTCTGTTGTCTCTATCACCTGAAGTTCATCACTTGCACGAGCTTCTGCATTGTTTGTTTTGATTATCTCTGAAGAAGGTGGAAGTGTAAATTCAAAACTTTTCTTCTTTTCTGAATGCAACATTTTATAGTTTCTTTGACTGCCATAATCTATTCGGTTCGAATATTCATTTAGTACATGCTCCAGTGGCTTAGATTCAGATCCAACGAGCTAAAAAACAAAGTGTAAGCTTCAGAACAAATATAAATAGTTGAAAAATGCTAAAATAAAATAAATCTTCACTTGCCTTTACTGAAATGTAAATAACAATTGTCGGCCATAATCTTATTATCATGTCGATGGAAAAAATATTAACCAAAAATTCTATCAAGAGATTTGAAATTGTAATATTTAGAGTGGAAGAATGAAGTCAGCTCGAATAGTATGCAAAAATATTATGTTGCCAGCGAATATTCTGCTTGTATATATATATAAGGTTTTTCATTGTAATCTTTCTCGAAGTTTCTATATGAATTCAATCTTATGTGGGCACCCGCATTGAGAAAAGTTATGTTGAGAAATATCTAATACACATATTCATAACGAAAGGGATAAAAAACAAAATTGCTATAATATTTCGACACATTACATAATAGTTACTATTATCGTAGAAAACAAAAGTTCATAAAGTGTAGAATAATTATTAATTGCCTCATATGTCTAAAGCGTGCAAACTGAATATCTTTTAATAGCCACGATACATTCATTTTCGATTTCCGTAATATGTCTACAGCTATGTAATAAAACTTCCGGTCTCATTAAAATACTTTGTTTTTTCTCTTGTAAAAATGCATGCCAATTCTCACGATCGTTAGCTAGTAAACTTTGAACGATAAAAAAAATTAATAAAAAGCAGAAAAAATTTTTAAACCGGTCAGACGTATTTTTTGTCACATTCACAACTTACTTGAAATGTTGTACTGACTTGCCTTGAAATAACTGACGGCAACATACCCCATGGAATTTTACATTTATTCGCAATCAAAATGAAAACTATATCCCTCAAAAATAATAACTCTACTATCATGGATTTAAAAAAATTATTTATTTAAGGTATATCATTTATTTATTACTTTAAATAGAAATGATTGTTCACAAACATATACTTGGCGAAATTTTTTTAACACTCGATATTTTATATAAAATTAATTAGCTATAAATGGACGTGTTTTCTACATATCTTCACAGCCTGGATTGTTTTACATAAACTTTAGTTCGGAAAAATCAAACTTTAAGGGTCTCGAGGTCATCGAGTTTTAACCCAAGAATTTCCTTGGAAATATATGTATATATATATATATATATCTATCGATGCGAGTTAAGTTCGATGTCAATTGGATGATGGAGAATCATTATTGATTTATTCTAAGCTCTTTTATTTCATTTTCTCAAATACCATTCTACATTTGCAGTGAGAAAAATCAACATTAAAAAAAATTAAATTTTTTCTGGTCCATTTATCTTATATTTTATTCTCCACCACATACTCTGATGAGATTTCAATATTCGAGTTCCACACAATAAATTTTTATAATATATTTAAATAAAATTAAAAATACTTGACATTTTTTTCGAGGGTTATTTCCCCATAAATTTCTATCATCCATTTGTACTTAACGAAAAATTCCTCATAACTTACTTATTCATTTCTCCATTATTTATATATTCTTTGTTTAAGAGCTTTGAACGAAGAACTTCAAAATCATAATGATGATATATGTAAATGTTACCATGACTCGTTTGCCAAGAACTTGAACTTAAAATCGACGCTGTGGCAATCGATAATAAAGTCTACAGACTAGAAGGAATGCTTGCAGAATAGAATAAGTATACATCCATGCACAGCAGCGGTTAAAAGGAACAAACGTTTTAATACACGCGATTTCATAAATGTATTAGTATTCACATGCATAGGTGCTTCTGAATACGCGATGTGTTTGTGAGATACCGAAGGTGATGCCGAAGACCTTAAACCGTTACGGACGCTTCGATCCTTCAGTCTGAGACAACTCATCGTTCAAACCAGTGTTTTCTTTACCTTTAAATTAGTTTTTGGTTTATGAAAAAAAAATTTATTACAATGAAGAGATTTTATTTAATATTTATGCTTTTACTACTTCGTGAGGTAAGTTTTTTTTAGCTAAGTTAACCGAATAATGAATAATTATGTTTATTTATAAATGATGAATTAGTATTCCTGTCAAATGTTATTTTTTATCAATGTGTTACTTCTGCACGTACTGAAAACGTATGCACATTGTGATCGTTTAATTGTTGATGGAAGTCAATATTGAAAAGGTAGCTCATCATCTTCTGGTACTCTATGTCAACAGTTACAAAGAGTAATCTTGTTTGATCTTTAATAATTACAGAGAATTTTAGTGGTTGAATGTGATGACAGCTCACTAATTGAAATTTCACATATAGTGGATATCCTTTGACGTCAATTTACACTTGACAATCATAAATATTCATATAATATATTGAATGGTGATTAATTATTTCAACCAATAACTGTTCTAACCATTAAATAGCAATCTGTATAAACAATAATTTTGTAATTTCATTAATTATGACACACTTTCTTTCAGAAAATCAAATATATTTACAATAAAATAAAATTTTTTTATTGTTTGTTTAACAATTGTATTATGAAATTACAATAAACTAAGGGCAGTTGAATTATAAAATAGAATAGTAGTGGTGAATTGATTGATATTGATAATAAAAAATATTTCATATTTTATTGATTATTATTAATTAAATTATTAAAAAAATTCTCTAGAGATTTTAAACATTTACAATTTCCCAGGGGCATATTGTCAAATGCAATTAGTAGCCCAGTTCATAGCACACGCGACTAAACAAGTCTCGTATTCTATGCAGCAACTAGGTCACCGATTTAACCTATCAACCTCTTAACTTTTGGACAGAGTAACTGTCTGAGAAATTATCACTGATGACAATATTTTACATAAATCGATTATCAGTTGAAAGCAGCTATCGTTTCATTATTGAACTTTCAATAGCAAAAATTATGGGAAAACTAATATTCCTATAAAGTTCGAAAAATTAATTTTTTCAGACAAATTCTAGGCCTCTGAGAAAAGATCCTGCATTTGCTAAGCCTGTATATTCCAATTCATATCTACCAGCTGCCATGCAGGTAAAGAATATTTTTTCTGATAATAATATTTACTACAAAGATATTTTAAAGAAAAAATCAACATATTTTTTTTTATTTATATTCTAGGTAATTTTTTATGCTGTTGAACAGCTTAAAGCTTTTCAAAATGAAGAACCAGAGCCAATAACAACAGTAATATCAACGACTATACCTACAACAATGTCTCACGAGCCAGGACAGCATCAGCCGAAACCCACGGAAGCTGTGATTCAACAATTCTCAACTGAGAAACCTGCATTAAGTCAAGAAGCATCTGTAGTTGAACTAGAAACTTCAAATACCAATGAAAGCACTCCTTCAAGTAATCACGAAATGCCAGAATTAGGCGAAGAAACGCCAGAAGCAAATTATGGAACTCCTGAAATAAATCATGAGATGCCAGAGGAAATTCATGAAACACAAGAAGTCAATCAAGAAAATCCACTCCCTGAAAAAAACGAAGAAAAACCAGAAAGTAACTCAAATGATAAATTTCAAACTACAACGATTGCGAATGATGACGTAAGTCAACAGGATAGTCAATCTAGTTCTTCTTCTTCATCAGAAGAGAAGCAGTCAGAAAATGAGAAAAATAAGAGAGAGCCTACAGTTGATAGTGTCGTTAAAGAAATTTATGGGATCATGAAGCCACAGGATAATAGTCAAGATTCATCGGTGAAATCCGAGTCTAAGAAATCAAAAAAACCTGACAACGACAGTGAAGAAGATGAAGAAGAAGACGATGATAACGATGATAATAGGTGAGTCTATAAATTATTATAGATATTCAATAAAGTAAAGAGAAATTATGTTCCAGCAGAATTGGAATTCTTTATTGAAGGTTGATGAAAAAATAAATAGAAAATAACTGAAGATTATAATAATTAAACTGTAAATCATTATTCAATTAAAACTTCATCAGAAATTTTAATATTCATTTAAATTTATCCAATTATTTTATATTAATTGAAAATTAATAAAAAATTTAATAAAAATATTTTTATTTACATAGATTCACATTACTCGGAGAAAAAGTATCTCAAGTTCCACGGCCAAGTTTATCAAATTATCTACGTCGTTCTTCAAAGACACCACCAAAATGTTCTATTCAACAACTAGCTCTGCTTTATGACGCACTGAGTAAAGACGCGAGAAAGCAGGGATTTGCTAAGTTCTCAGGTTACTCTGATGAAGTTTTGAAAACCTTACAAGCGTCTGCCGAGGGTGGCATTGGTCCACAACTTCAAAAGCTTTTAGAAAAAATTCTCGAGAGAAATGAAGTCACGAGAGATGACGCCAAAGTTAAGGTTGTGGAAATGCTTAAAGAATTGAATAATCCCGGAAGTGAAATCAATAGAGACTTGAGACGTTTGCTTCCATTACGTTTTAATCCATGATTTATTAATTATTAAAGTGATCTATATTTTTACTATATTTAGTTCATAATCATTAAGCATTATATCATTTTCTACCTTCATTTTTATCATGATAATGTAAAATGACAAAAGTGATAAATAAATTTTTTTATTCAAATATATCTTCTTGAGGTATCTCTATATTTAAGATTTCAAAATTCACCAGAAATTATTTTCAAGATATTATATATATTCATACATTTATAAGTATGTATGAAGTCATATAGTTTCTGGACTATTAATAGAGATCGGCTTAATGGACCACTAAGTTTGATAATTGATCAAATACTCTTCAATACCAGTAATGATCTTCATCTGCTCACGAATTATCGGTTCATGTGTCAGTTCTAATACCAATGTTCTCAAAGCATTATTGCCATTTAATACGTTACTGATAATTTTAAATCCATAATCCATGATAAACTGCACACCAAAAGTTTTTAATTAGTACACGGAGAGAACTTTTTTACTGCTTAGAAGTAAAAAAATGAAAAGTACACGATTCGACGTTTAGGAATAAAAATCTGTGTATTCAGAAATGAATTCTGAGTTATTGTAAGTAACTTATACACTACATTGCAATGTTTTACTCACAGTAACTCAAAATTCATTTTTACATTTATACTTCTACACATCGAATCGTATTTTTCTTATTTTTTTATTTCTGAGCAGTAAAAAAATTATCTCCGTGAATACCTAAGTTACAATTATCTTAAAGTGAGTGCATGTAGAAAAAAATTAAATATAAATTGTATCAAGACAATCGTAAAAGCTATTTTCAATAAAGCCACAATCCGGAATTCATCAATGAATCAGAGTGTGGTCGATATGTTGCTATTTCCAGACAAAACCACATCATTTAATTCCATACACACTATCCGACAAACCGATACTCTATTAGAAAATCATTTATTTCGACTAAGTAGTACTTTTTATATATGTACTTCAAAATAGCATATTATTGCTCATTGACAATTCAATAAGACACCCTACGTGCTTTGGATTTTAAACTTATTATGCAATTCTTCGAAGACAATTTGGGGCGAGAACAATGGCGCAGAAAAATAAAAAAAAAATATTCTCTAATGCCAAACTTAAAAAGTAAGTAATGAAGTTTATTCGTCACCAGTGGGTTTCTTTGTCATATAAAAATGTCTTGCAATCGATAAGTCCTTCAGTTTTCTTTAGCACAACGAAAGTCATCGATCTTTTGCTTTTGAATATTACAGTGACACTTTAATAAGTGATTTGTATTTTATTATTTGCTTTTTTCTAATTATAAATATTATTTCAAAGATGAGAATTCATCTGACATTTGGGTTTTTTTGTGTAATATTATTCGTGAGTAAAAACAATGATTTTTTAAATAAATTTTAATATTTTACTCTTATGACAAATTTTTTATTTCTATTTTATTCTCGTATTTTTCATTTCATATCTATTAATTATGAATGATTTATTAAATCATTTGAAAACTTGACAGACGAAAACGGAAACATTCACAATTTAATTTTTTTGAAAAATTGAAATAAAATTTAGAATAAAAAAATAAAATAGCAAATTTCCAAAAATGATTATCGACTACGAGTGATATTAAGAATAAAAAAATTCATTGATAATTCTATAAAACTTATAAATGACGTTGATTTTAATTTTCCGACTTATTTTTAATTAACAGACTCTGCTAATAGAATTAAGGGCTCTACCACAAATAACAAAATTAATTCCATTGGAGGATTGGATAGCTTTTAAAAATCGTACTAGTAATATTAATCCTTTGGACAAATTTCTTGGGAAATTACGTGCTACATATGACTTCGTATTTCACAAGCCCGACAACATTACAAATGTTAAAAAAATCTTAATGGAAAATAAATCTGAACCTATAATAGACAACACAGAGAAAATCATTATGTCAACATTATCAATAATTGGCGATATAATATACAACAATAATCAACGGAAAACTTCTAATGACAGTGTTTATCTGGAACTGCTTCCCGAAGAGAACATTATACCAACCAAAGTGAGTTCAATCTCTAGAATATCCAAGGATAATAAGTGGTTAGATGAAATTGAAGTCCAAGAACCTTTGAGTGAAGAAGAGGCAATTGATGACGAAGATATTGACCGATCTGTTGAAATTGTGACACCCAAACCAGGCTTTCAACTCTCTGCTGCTGTCGCTCAAGCCTTCGGCAAGTGGCTTGCTTCTATTCTACGCTTCACACGTGAAGCATATTCCAAGTTGATGCACTTGAGTGTCAGAGACCAGTAAATTACATTAATTAAAGGAATCATCTGATGTACCGCAGAGGCAGTTTCATTGAGTTCAAATTATATATTTGCATTTTTATTTTGTCCATTTATGTTAATTAACTTTTGTTGATTAAGATTTTAAGTGATCGTCAACATCAGAATGTAAATAAAGATATATAGATATTTTCAACCAATACTTGTAAATTTTTTGTTGCTGGACCCTTACTATTTTGAAAAGTTTTTTTAGTTACAAATTACTTCGAAAATCTATAATTGATAGTAATATTGTTAATGTAAATATTAATAAGTAATTTACGTCAGTTTATTAAAATATATTATTTTGATAGATTGTAAATAAAAATAATTTACTCAAAAGAAGGTTAATCTTGTGATAATTATCTACAATTAAAAAAAATTAAATTGAATATGGATCGAATTGTGGCTTATCGATTATTTAATTAATCATTGGCTAAAATTGAATAACTAAAATAATGAGGATTTAATAATCTATTAAATCTGATTTACAGTCACTCAAGGCTTATTAAATGCATCTATTGAAACGAAAATCTATTTCAAAGTACTGCGCACGTTCATTATGATGAAATATCAAGATGATTTGCTAACAACATTGAAATCCTCATTATGATGAAATTGTATGAAAGTTTTAAAGTAAAGGAAAACCATAAAGAGATACTAAACCTAATATAAATGAATTACTACTACTATAACAAAATTGTTTCTCTTTTTTTAATACATTTTCTTTTATTCAAAAATATCTTGGTCTGAAAAATACATTTTTTCATCATTATTACTAGTAATATTAATGTTATTAATCAATTTAATTTTATTACTATTTTTTTGGCAATTGGTATTGTTTAGATATCATAATACATAACAATTTGTATGTAACGTAATCTTTTTGTTTTTCTTCCCTTTAATTTCTGCTGTGAAAATTGGTTACTATTTAAAAAATATTATCATACGTATAACTAATATACACTACTATGGCATGATTTCGATTATTATTTAAAAATTATTTATATCATTAATATAAATTTAAGGGTCAAAATTATTGAGAACTAAATGTTACACTTAGTCAACATTAAAATGTGAGCAACTTCTTTGGTTCTATTATTTAAAAGTATTATGTCAGATTTAAAATTATTATTATATTTATCTACTTAATTAATATTATTGATGGGCGATGATATGGAAGATGATAAATTTATTACGACAAAATGTCACGTTATATTAACTTCACCTCTTAATTTATATTGCAACTGAATTTTTTATTTATTTTAATATTTTCTTACGTTTTTTATCCTCTATCGAATGTAGAAAATACTGAATGTGAAAACAGAAATTTTTTTGGAAGGGAATACCAATCAAGTCTTTTGCATTAAACAATTTCGATATCAACTAATTATTACAATTGCTAAAAAATAAGATTTTATAATAAAAATTATTTTGCAAAATTCATTAATAAATGAGCTTCATAAATCATATTTTATGTACAATATTAATGCTTTATACGGTTATTTAATTATAAATGGGCTGATAAAAAAATTAATTTATTTTAGTCTAAAAAATAAGATTATCCTCTTTAATCAACAGCCTCAAATTCTATTTACGATACTTGTAAGTTATATTAATTAACTATTAGTATAAAATGAATTTCTATCTATTTTGAGAATTGCTCTCCATAAAAAGAAAAGTCATAATTAAAGATTAAAGAATATAATTAACTCGGAAATGTATCATAATTTAAAAAATATTAATTCAAAGAAAAAATAGAAAATAATTTCTCTATATATAAATGCATGAAAAATGGGCAATTAAAATGATGATAAGTACCAAAAAATTAATAATCTCCTGTTATTTATGATAAATCATTTAAAAAACTGTATAATATTAATTTATATCATTTTAGACTAGATTAAAATTCATTAAATCTCAAGAATTTTTATTAACTAGTCTAACATGTAAATGCTTAGTTATGCGATCCATAAAATAGTCAATAGTTTTATTTATTTTCGTTGAGTTACTTAACTTTTGTTATGAATGATATTGATTTGTTCATTAAAAGTTGTACTGTTAAATTTATCATAGTGATTATTTTTTCCACTCTTCAGTTTTATATTGAATATTTTTGCACCAATGTAACAATTACTTATCAATTTCATGTAGTAAAATTAATTGTCAATCAATAATCAAATTTGAAGATCACTACTACACATCTTATTTATTGGCACATGAAAATTCTAATATGGAACAATCGGCAAAGCAACCTACATGAAGCTGGTCACAGCCAATAGTGCAGTCAGTTTCTTATCGATACGAATGTAAATAATAAAAATCATAATAATTATCATCTCTTTCTCTAATTTAAAAAAAATGATATTTCATTCTAATTTACGTTAATTTAAATAGTAACTTTATCAATTTACTTTACTATTCACAATTTTCTATTTGTCTTACCCATTTTTTTTTACTTTCGAAAACATTAAAACTAATTATTATTTATTATCAATTACTACTAATTATTAATAATTAATAAAAAGAGCATGATACAGCTCTTTTCACTTTATTTAATTAAATTATTGCTTTGGGTAAAATATTTGAAGTTTACCTTTAAAAACTAAGATGGCATCATGTACCTTGTATTCTGTGGTAGTATCTCATTCATATTAACTGCTTGCTGTTGATGCATACTACTTTCTTTCAATGCTTGCTCTTTGAACACTGAAAACGTTTGACAGAAGTTTTGATCCTTCTGTAAATTCTGAATGTGTTGAAGAAATGTAGAGTCCTGTTTGATAAACGTTCCATCTTTTAGAAGGTAATTCAATTCTTGCTTGGACGAGTCTCCAATTGATTCTATGTTATTTTTCATTTCCGTTAATAAAGTATCTTTTTTTACTTTTCCTCTTCGAATACCGAGATGGGTTTGAGTGTGTTTATTCAAGTGATCCTTGCGTGAAAATGCTTTTTGACAAATGTTGCATAAAAAGTTCTTATCTCCAGAATGAATGACATAATGCCTTGTGAGATGTTCGTTTCGTTTAAATGCTTTTTGACACACAGGGCATTTGAACGGCCTTTCATCTGAGTGACCTCTCATATGTTGATCTAAATGTTCTTTTCTCTTCAGCATTGCACCACACTCTTTACATTGATATTTTCGTTCCTGAAATTTCAATAAAAACTCTATAATTTTTGTCAAAAAAAATCTATATTATTTTCCTGAGTTATTAAATAGTACTTTTAGGAGAAAAATTTTTGTATATAATGATTAAAGTAAATATAAATTACCTGCACATGTCCTTGAATATGCCTCTCAATATCAGTTTTTTCAGCAAAAGCATGATTACATTCAGGACAACAGTATAGCATGGAACCATCTAAAGCCATAGCAATTTTAATTTCACCAGTCTTAGCTCTGAATTTTACTTTACGTTCAGTTTTTGGAGAATCAGTCTGAATTTGCTGTTCAACTTTAACAGGTGGTTCAATCTTAATGGTACTATCGTTTATGGAATCGCTTTCTATGTGAATATTCAAATCACTTGGACTAATGTCTGACAATAACGAATCTGAGCTAAGAAAACTATTTCCATTTTGTAGATTATTTCTGAATCCCGGCACACTTGGAATATTTAGGATATTATTTTGGTGCTGATCTGTTTTTTGATCTTCTTCAGACTTTTCTTTTTTTATTGGATCAGTTTGCAATTTTATTAATTGTTGAAGAGTGAGTGGTAAAGTTGTTGCTTGTAACTTTTGTAAATATTCAGCCATTGCTGCACTTTGTTGTTGGAGATGAGCATGAGAGTCCAGATTATTATTTCCTGAGTTACTACTGATATTATTGCTCACTTCCTCTTGTTTTATAGATTGTGTGTTAATTTGGGATGTCGTTGGCAGGTACATATTTGGTAGTAATCTCACAGGTAAACTGTTTGATGGTACACTAAGTAATGGACTATTTTGGCTGTAATTTGGAATGTTGATAGTTTGAAGACCTTGTTTCTCACAAAGTTGCATCAAGGCATTTGGATTTGGCCAAGCCAGTAAAGTTCCTGGGTATTTATTCGCAGTGTTTACCTAAGATTGTTAGATTTCTTAATTAATAATTTACACCATGATAATTATAATTATATCAACACTAAATTGAATATTAAAGCAACTATAAAATTAAAAATAAATCGTCTTTTTTATAATTTAATATTAATTTAATTGGAATCTCAATTAATCAAGTTTTATATAAAAGTCTTAAAAATAACCATGCTTCTAGAAATTATTTCCATCATTTTCCATAGTTTACAAGATATTGTTGGTTTAAAAAAGCTTTTATGTGTTAAATTGAAAAATAAATTATCTGTAAATATTATGTTATTACCATTATAGACTGCTTTCCTGAATCACAAGCAGCAGCAGCAGTGGTATAAACACTATTTTGGCCAGGAAACAATTGTCCCGAAGTAGCTGTATAACTTGAACTTGACACAGAATTTGACCGTGATGTTATCTCCGAAAACTGAGGAAGTTGTTGGGTACCGCTTGACTCCGAAAAATTCATTTTTACTGTGAAAATGTCTTTCAAGTCCTTTCTAACCTTAATGGTGAACCGACCGATGCCCACAACTTCACAAAACTCTATTTTTATTTTGAAAACTGCACATATTTAATAATAAATCATATCTTAAAATTTTTAGGTTCTTTGAAAACCTTTCATTAATTATCTAATAGTATTAAGTTAATTATTTTATTAAATTAAACGAATTGTATATTATTTATATCATATTCACTTGGTCACATCACACATACGCTCTGCCTGTTTATCGCGTCGTTTTCTAACATGGCGTCTCAAGTGAGGTTAAAACCGATGTTTTCAGGTTGGTACTATGAAATGTTTTTGTTTACTCCAAAAAATTGTTCCTGGTTGCTATCGACCACTTTTTCAATCAAATTTGAATTAAAAAGTCTCATAAAAACTATAAGAGTAGTAAAAGTTTATCTATTTTTAAAAAAGTAAGATTTCTAAACCCAAAATACATAACACTTTTTAATGTTAGAATTTTTTTGACATTTAATGATAAGGTTAACTTCATTTTGACATTTCTTATACATATTTTATTGGTTATCCAACATTCGTCATATAAAATTCGTCGCATTGATTAAATGTAATAAAAAATTACAGGTGGATGGCTTCATATGAAGATAACAGTTTGAAAAATTTACGTCAAAAAAGTCAAGTGCTGTTAAATCGATTACAGAAAAATTCTAATCATATAATAAAAGAATTACAAAATTTGAAATTGCAAAGTTCGTAAGTTTTTATACTTATTATCACATTAATATTTATCGAAAAATGCTTTCAATAAATTTTTTTAGGTCACGTACTATAACCAGCAATCATCACGCATGCAAAAGTGGCAATCATTGCATTTCTTCGGCTCAACAAACACAACACAATTCCAACCAAGTCACCGGTACGTATTGTCCTAATTTAAACTATCAATCCTTGAGTCACAAACTTCAAAATCAAGGAGATATGACTGTAGGCGGAAGGATTTTAATAACATCTAAACGACCAGTAGAAGTAGAGCCACTAAGGAAACCTGTAAAAGGCTGTTATTGCTATCACAATAAAAAGAAAATACAAATCAGATCACCAAGATCAGCCACTAAGTCCATATGGCCATGCAACTACTGTAAAAGTCATTTTAATGTTGAACTTCCTGATTCTCAAGAGACACAAAATGAAATTTCCTCACCAACTCTCAGCTGTGACACATTAAGAAAGGTCCAGAAGATAAATTATACTCCGAGATCAGAATTTTTACGACGAGTTCAACAGAAAGCTTCTCAGAATTACAATCTTTGCAGATCTTGTTCCGAACCAGCAGTTCAACCTACTCGAGTAGCACGTAATATAGTTGATGATCCCTTAGACACGATAGAAGTTGATTCTCGATATGCTGAAAATGTGAAAAGTAAAGAATCTGATCCAAATCTTCGACCTAAATCAAAAAGAAATGGGGAAAAACATTCACCAGAGATTGAAACTATTTTTACTGCCAATGCATCATCTCGACCAACATCTAGTGGAATATTAATGAAAAAGACGATTTGTTCTTCAAAGTCAATAGATGAAAATATTGAATGCGGAGAAGAGGAGAGTCTAAAACGAGTAAGGTCAAAAAACAAACTAAAATCTCGAACACTGACGCAAAAAAGTTGTCAGTACGACTGTTGTTCAGTGAATGCGAGAAGAAAGAGTCCGAAAAAAAATAAAAAAACCGGTCAAGAAACATGTCTTCAATGCCACCGATGCCCTGGCCGGTGTCCTTCAAAGTTTGTAGCTAGTGGTTCAAGCGATCACGAAGATGAAGAAGTAATTAAGTTGCGTAAATTTCGGGAAAAAAATTATTACGATACTCATGGCTCGAGTAGTGCTTTATTATCTTCTCTAGATTCTTCTACACGCTTGAAGCAGTACGAAATAAATGATAGACTATTTCCTGTACCTGTTGATGGAATATATGATGATGAGGCTCAACCCGTTGTTTCTATGCCACGTTGCGCTACAAAACAATTTAAAAGAGTACATTACTTTCCTCAGTTTATTGTAAAACAAGATGAAAGAGCAGCTGGTTTGAGTAAATCTTCAGGAAAAAAACATCAAAAATGTCCTCTGACTGGTCATGCTATTGACATTAGAAGATTAAAAACACCATCGAAGAATTCGTTAGCATGTAAATTCCGATATGAAGATCAATTCGATGATTATCTAGGATATTTTTAATTTATCAATTGGCTAATGGAAAGTTTTTTACTCTGCTTCGTAAGAGGATAATTTGTATGAATAATGAATGATGTAAAGACGTAATTCATTGAATGCTATATTATTTATTGTGTCAGTCAACATAAATTTCATCGAAAATATTTAAAAAAATTGTCATTATAGTTGCAGTACTTTACTATGTTTATTACAAATATTGTTTACAGCTTTTTACTATTTTAGATTAATATATTTTCAAGTTTCAATCATAAATATAATTTTTCCATAGGCATAAGATTGTTTTAAACTAATAGTTAATTAAAAATAAGGTGAAATATCTAAATTAATTGAGCATGAATTTTTCTCAAAAATGATAAAAAATTACAATAAATATTGTGGATCAAATATTTAACGAACAAAAAAAAATTATAATAATCATTTAGTTTTAACGGCAATCGAAAGTAGCAATGAAAGACAATTTTTGAAATTGAATAAATTCAAGAATAAGAAACATTTTGTAAATATTTTTATAGGCGATATTAATTGCAATCATGTACTTGACATTGGATTCTTATGTAATAACTGAAATACTCGAATGACCGTGTAATACTTACTTCGATCAAGTACATATCAGATAGTTTTTAACCTGAATTTTAAATTTCTCATACAATCATTATTCAGTTTTAAATGTTTATGGTACAAATAAGCTTTTAAATTTTACAAATAGCTGAGCTATAGAACAGAAATAACTTGTGTTTGAATCATAAACCATGAATACTTGTGAGCACTAATGAATTGTCTAAGTCTCTAAATTGTATAAAAACATTTACATATTTTGTATTGTCCTAATTACCTGGTATTCAAGAATATCCCAGAGAGTGAGGTTTTTGTACAAATTCTATAGAACACGTGTGAAAAATTTTTCAATAGTGTGATATATATATATATATATATCATTACTAGTACTAAAAATTTAGTTTTAAAGCAAAACAAAAAATAATTAAAAATTTATAAACTCCAGTACAAAAAAAAGTAAATACTTTTATTTTCCTACGTTTTTTTCTGAGAATAAAATTTAAAGTGACGAAGTTTGTTTGAGTAATTTTACAATTCTTAGAAAAAAAAAAATGCAATGTCCATAAATAAACAAAAACTATTCATTATTTCAACAAAAATCTCATAGAAGAAGCCAGAAGTATTTTTCAACGATTGAAGCATTTTCTGGCATTTAAATTTACTCGACATATATTGATTAATTAACAATAACTTGTTAATTTATGACATTGTTTTTACAATGTTTCTAATTTATTATGTCAAAGATTAGCTCATAGCATAAATGACACGTAAAAAATAATTGTACAATTATTAATCAATTTCTTCGTTCTTTCTGCTAAGCTTGATGAAGGTTTTATGTGATGACTCCTTCATTTTTATACTTAATTAATAAATAATTAAAATACTAATACAACAATCTCGTTGCATTTTTCTCTTTTTAATCAACGATATCATTTGAACCTTTTTATTCTAGAAATTGTTCATTTATTGGCTGTAATAAGTTATTAATTTCTGACGAACTTTATAAATATTAAAATTTTCTAATCGTATAAATCTAAAAAATTACATTAATTATCTATTCATAATATACATCAATGCAAGCATTTACAATTAAATAATATTGGCTCGAATTGTAACAGAATATTGACGTCAAGTATTATTAAAACCTTTCAACTTCGAAGGTGAATTATGGTAAAAAAAATATCTTTTTCATTGTACTAGTGATTGCTAGAGAAAAAAGAAAAGTATAATACACTCATAATTATCATAACAACAGATTAGATATAGTTTGAATTCCAAATGATATATATAGTTTCCATTCATCCAACGAATTATAATTACTAATTTTGGTTTCCTACCCGAGGATAAGCTGGGGAAATTGTTTATTCGTTATTCTCGTAGTGGGGCAATACTTACGCAGTTAAATACTCCCAATGATTGAACAGGTAGACACAGTCTGAACTCGCACCCGATCAAGGAAAGACCAATATAAATTTTCCGTCGAAGGAATTTTTTCTCAATCGGGTGCATTTTTTTTTCTAAATTTGAATAATTTACAATACAATAATTTTCATTGTATAAAAATCATCATGGAATATATCGTGTTTCTAGTTTTAGGATTTATTGCAATAAACCAGGGTGCTGAATTACGTGAGTGTTAAAAGTATAAACACATATTTGGTAACTTTTTTTATAACAATAGTAACACTAAAATTGATTACTAATTTTTTTAAAATTATGACCTGTCTGACTGTTATTCAAAAAGATTATATCAGGTTGATTAATCGTTATTTATAAATAGTAAAATCATTTAATAGTGCATCTTACAATTATTTAAAATCAAAATTTATTCTCCCCAACCGGCGATAAAAGAGAAAGTCGGTTACTGCAGAATTGTTAGTCGGGCACGGGTAGTATGCAGTTTTACTGCAGGTTTCTGTAATCAGTAATCCCAGATACGGCATTGCGACACTTACATCAAGATTATTCAATAATATTTTATCGTTCCAGCTTCTAGCTTCAAGATCTGTAAGCAAAGTGACCCGAATCTATCAGCATGCGTTGATGAAGCGGCAGTGCAGGCCATTGAATCTATGGCTAATGGTAATTAAAGCTTTTACAATAATATTTTAATTAATACATTTTTAAATAAAAATACTTGTTCTATTTTTTCAATTTATTCCAATTTTTCTTTATCTTAAAATTAAATTCTTTTATTGAAGTCTTGTAAATAATTTAATTAATAATTATAGTAGATTATCAACAGTGGGATTAGTGATGTAACTTGGAAAAGTTGATCAACTACTTTAATAATTGGTTTAGAAATTTCATCTTCATTTCGCTAGCCTTTTTACTTTTATTAGTATATTAATAAATATCATTTACTGCTATTGATGGTCATTGTACCATTAATTTCTGTTAACTGATATTAAACACATGATATAATTTACAAGTGACTCTTCACTTCCGCACACTTGATTCGGTTGAGTTGAGTAAGCCCATATAGTTGGTTGCTTTCTTTTTACAGATGATCGCACGTAGTGCCTTGAGTGATCAAAAAATTTTGTTATTGTCACGAACTGTTGTTTGATTTTCTTTTACTTTAAACAATAGCTAACTCAGTTAATTGAACTCAAGTAATGGTTAACCACTGGATTTTACTTTTTATAGGCATTCCTGGTCTAAATGTGGCTCCTGTGGAGCCTCTGTTGATTGAGCACATGTCTATTGGTCAGTCTGGTAATGTGGTTTCTCTGGAACAGAATTATCAGAATATTAAGGTCTATGGATTGTCTAAAGGAATCAAAGTTTCCAATTATGAGTAAGTCTATGAACTTGTAAAAAATTCCTTTTTCAACAATGAAAATAGAATGAACAAGTGGATTTTCCTTTTATGGCGAGATTAGTAATTTATTAGCTGACTCAACTTGAGAAAGAACTAATCTCAGCAAATCGATTTATCTAGGAATTTTACGTTCAATCAAACTATGTGGTAACTCGCAAGTATACATATGAGTAACGACATAATTTATATTCATGGCTAATAAAACAGTCGAAGTTTATAATAAAACTTTAGCTTAAATAGTCATAAATAAATTTTTATAGAAATTTTTAAGTATTCTTTGATGCTACGATCCATAAAGTGATTTTTAATATATATTTTTATGGGTATTTGCAATCAATTGAAAAAATTTTTTAAGTGATATTGTTATTTGAAAAGAGAATACTGTCAACATTATTTATGTTTGTTGTTTTTCTAGAATTAATTATAACTAATTTATTCAAACTATTTCTCAAATGAGATGAATAATTAAATATATTACTCATCAAGTATTGAAATCGCTTACATCTTTTTTCAGAATCGACTTTGATAAACTAATCTTCAAATCGGATTCAATCAATCCTCAAATAGATTTCGTGGCTGATTGTAAAATTGATGGAAAATTATTGGTATTACATCTTCATGGAAGTGGTCCCTGTAATATAACAATGAGTAAGTAAAAAAAAATACTAATAAAATAATAATTAAAAGAAATAGTTAATGAACAAATAAATTAATTTATTTATAATTTATTAAAATGAAAAATTTTTTGTAGAAAATTTACAATCTAAAAATGTTTATTATGGCGAAAAGTATGAAAAAGATGGAGAAACTTACATGAAAATCAAGAAGTTTGTTGTCAAATTTATCCCAGAGAAAGTCATACTTGACTTTGAAAGACTATTCGAGCAGAATAGCTTCTTTAGTACTCAAATTAATTCAATTTTAAATACTAATTCTGATCTGTTATTCAAAGAACTTAAAGGCTCTTATGAAGACACATTTTCCAAAGTATTTGCAAAAATAGCCAATGACGTATTTTCTCAAGTACCATTCCGTAAAATATTTCCAGACTAGATCTCATCCATTTATTAGTTAACTTTTTACATGTAAATAAACTCATCACCATAATTATAATGATACTGATAATAATTAATGATATTGTATAATACAATGTATATGTATATTATATTTAAGAAAAAAATTTATTGAATGATAAATAAAAAATTATTTTCTGAAAAGAAACAAATAGGCATTTATTCACAAGAGGCGGGTGTAGCTACATTGTTTCATTCGATTGCTTTATAATATTTTTTGGTTTACGTCTGTTACAATAATCGGTCGTTTTGACTATGCATCATATGAATGGATGTGTATATTGGGTGGGTGCATATCAAATTAACACTCTTTTATTATTATTTATCTTCTTCCTTCATACTTGTATAGCTTTTTACCATACATCGTTCATTCGAATAAGTGATTCAAAATATCAACTTTACTCGAATAAATTCAGTGATTATTATCTTAAGAGTTTGTTACAAATATAGGACGAGAAAATGACGGTGATCTTATTGTAGATTTAAATGCAATTTATGAAATGCTTGATTAATTCAGTGGATGACAATCTTCATGATGAATATTAAGGAATTTTCGATCGACGACCGATCTTTGTGTCGACGGGGCAATAGAGAGAGGTACGTTTATTATTTCGAGTCACTATACTTATCGATGAAGCATTCGTGATTTTTTTGTGCAGAATAACATTTTTTTTTACTATTGGTAGTGTTATCATTTGTATTTTTTAATCATTTACTGTTAAAGGATTATTAAATGTCACAATTAAATATATATAATTTCATTACTAACACTAGTATCATCAGTTACAGTGGTTGTCAATCATCTTTCACATTTTTTATACCACTTTTTTTTACTCAACATTCTTTTTGTTAATATGTTGTTTAATGAGACTTATAAGTCTCAAAAAAATTTTTCAACACTTATTAACAAACAATTAAACTAATGCGCGTGTGTATTTTTGTTTAATATGTGAATATGTGAGTGTAAATGTTCTTGATAGTTTTTTTGTATCTCATTTTTTTTTATCAATCTTCATTTATCTTTCCATTTAATTTCATTTTGTTCTTCGATAATTTCTTTTATATCTCGTACAATAGTGCAAATCCTTAATCGTCTCTTTTCCTACCACACTGAAACACATATGCAAAATATTTACAGACATTCTTCACATTTATTCTGAGCCGAAATGTTTAATTGTAATATAACTTTTTATTTTACTTGTTGACATAGGCGGGAATATTTATCGTATCATTGATTAACACGGCTTATCACGATTATTATCACTTAGTTATATTGTATCACTTGCAAACGTCCTCTCATCCCACGCCTATATTTATTTTCCTATAGGATCCACGTCTTTTCCCGGATTAGTTATTTAAATTTTATTTATTATCCACACGATTGAAGAATGGAAGGAACGAAATTTTAATCGTTTACTAATTTTATAGGAATACATTAACGGCGTATCAATTAGCGTGTGTGACATATGATTCACTGAATATAATTATTTAATAAATTTTTCATTTTTATAATCGATTCAGATTAAAATTAAAAACTAACAATTTTTCTACATTTACAATCAGTATCACGATTTCAAAAATTATAGCCCAAATTACACTTCACAATTTTTATAGAATAAATATTTTCATCAGCAGTTGAGCTGAGATATTTTATTATCATTTTATTTTAAAAATGAACGTAATAAAATTAAAAAGTAAACCAACATAACTATTAATTAATGTGACTTTTATAAGAGCTTAATAGTAAAATCAAAAAGATTCAATGTGTTCATCGCACGTCACATTACGCTAGAGAATATAAAATGTAGTATAGCCGAGGTAATTTGCATTACATCTATAGCCAATACCTGGCGATTATAACGCTTATTCTCTTCTTGTCCCCGATATTACATAATATTACATAATATCATAGTCACTATAAATTTACTCGTTGGCGCGCGCCGAACGTCGAATGTACCTTTTTCTTTTTATCAATCTCTGACAAGTTTCTTTCTCATTTTTTTTCTCACTTTCTTTCTTAACATAAAATTATTATAAAGGCGGGCATTAGCATGTCATATTTACAATATCATTCGTTCATACAAGATTTCACATACACATTACGATCTTTAATTCGTTCAGTATTTAGATAATCGTAATTTCAAGTGCTACTAGAATTGTATTACTCTTATGATTCCTTTCAAACAAGTTTAGAATGCATCACTTACTCTCTTATACATTTAATAGCATTTTTCATCAATTTTCAATTTACTTTATGTCATTTCGAATTTTTCTACTTCGATATCATATTCAAATTCTTTTTTATAACTTACTATAAACGATGAACTCTCAATAATTGATTGTATAAAAGACGCTAGAATAGCAATTATCTTTCTCATTGACTATTTATCATTTCAAATCTCTTTGTAATAACATTTTGGACAGTAATGATTGTTACAAACGTCGAAATAGCGAAATCCAAAGTGCTTAACACTCTTATTTAATTTTCAGACTCATTTCAAACTGTATATGTGTAATGTTTCTATGTTTTGTGTGGTTGTATGTAAATTTATATTATCTTATATCTTATATCAGTATTTTTTTTAACGATTAATGTATACGCAAGTTTACAATGGACTATTACAAACATTATTTATCCGAGAAAACATTTAAACATTTTTTTTTTACTAATCGAAATGCCATTTTAGACATTTTACATTAATAATAAAAATAATTATTGACAGTAATAATATTCTTATAATTATAATTATAATGATAATAATAACGTATTCGTGTTTCATAATATTTTCTCGATTAATAATTATACTCTACGACTAAAAGTCGTGCTAATATTTGTCATATCACTTCTTACGCAAGCTCACCTATTATTTGGCATAAAAAATAAGTTTCCTATAATATATGTGATTTTTCTTCGTGTATGTGTACATGAGTACTCAAGTTAAAATGTTGCTGGGTAAGTAGGAAATAGGTTCTTTACTTAATGATTTTACAGGAATGTCATAGTTGTCATTGTTAAGTGTCTTTCTGTGGTTTAACAATAAGGTGTTTGGAATTATTTTTGTTTTTTATAATTTTTTTTTTCTTTAAAAAAAAAAGTAAAATTTTCTTCTTTAAGTCTGTACACTCAAGATTACATACACTGCAATGTATTATTCACGATAAGCTCTCTATGGCTCCTTAGAATGCTTTTTGAATATAAATAATGACATTCTCACATTGGAGATTAATTCTTTATAATAATTATTATAATAATCATAAGAATAATATTAATCCATTTATCATATTTTTATATCCTTTATGTACAGACATTTATTTTCACTCTGATAAATCACATTCACTCTTTGTAATTAAGCAATGATAGCGTCCATTATTTTCTCTATAACGTGAGAAAACTAATGGATTATTATCTCAGGACAAGCAACACTTTGGGCGTCGTATGAAGTTCGAAGACATAACATAGGAATATCATATCGACGTATTTCAAGCTTAATCTCTCATCAACTGTAGCATTTAATTTATTTATTATTTATACTATTATTTTATCATTAAATTTATTTTTTTATTTATTTTTTTTTCATCAACGCCTTATAAAAGGTGGGCGTACAATAAATCACGATAAGCGTGATATTTCATTTACTAGTCTTATTTCCCTTGAGTTTATCCTTTTCTGCATTGATTTACGTGCCTTACGCAGATAGACAATGAGTGCTTAGGGATTACTCTCCCAACGAGCGAGCTGAATACGTCTTGTGTCCAATGACGGTGAGAGCAGAGACCTTAGGGATGCACTAGATGGAGAGCTCCCAAAGTATTTAAGTGTCAATGGGGATTGCAGATGCCTATGTCGGATCACCTCTCGCTCGGCAGGCAACGGCCATAGTTCCTGGCGAATCGATCGGCTTGGTTGATTTAACTATACACTCCACATCATCAATTCTTTCAATTATATTCATCGAAAATCAAAACAGAAATCTCAATCACACAGGCTAACTTTATTACTGGTATTTAATTAGTTAAAAGCTCCGAACATCCTCGACCTCATCTTTGGAATACAAATTTATTGTCATCATTCTAATGCAGGAAAATAATAACGTAGATTAGTTCTTATCCAATGACATAATTTTGTTTACCATACTATTTTACATGAAATTTTATATTCGCGGATTTCTTTGTCTTTTCAAAATTTATTTTAATGCATTTTTTTGTTATTATATTAATCAATTTAATTGCCGGAGCTTTCAACTTGATCAAAATCAATTTTGAATATTGCAAAAATCTAAAAATTGGCACTTACCTGCAGCGAGAGAGCCTCATCTCAGGATTCACTCTGTTTATTTCTTCTTCCAGTTAGAGAACCTACAAGAGATTTAAGAGTTGCTCCAATTCCTCGACCACTAGGGGTACTAAGATTATTAGCATTTCTAAAACCTTGTGGATGAGCATCAAGACATTTTTGGTACCTTAGCTGAAAAAATATAAATTGATATTCACATCATTCATAAAATTATTTTATTATTTCTTTTATCATTAAAAATATTTTATCATTTTCTAGAGAAAAAACATAATTTTATACTATTAAACTAACTGCCTATAGCCATCGCATGTGTTGTATTATACATTTTGTATGTATTATCGATTGTTACTAGACTGGATTTAAATTTCTACTTAGATTAAATTTTCATTTCCTACTTTATTTCTAATATTTAAACCCTTTACTGGACAAAATAGAGCAATAGAATTATCGATATCATGTACGGATGTATGTAGATGATTAATAATAATATTTATTTTTATCAATTAATTGTTCTGATTCGTTATTATAAAAAATATAAGTTAATCTTTGATATTAAAAGATTGAAATATTTGAAATAATTTTTTTATTTGTGTCAGAACAAAGCTCAGCATGAAATCGAATATCAAATAAATATTTATTACAGTGCCATTATAAAATAGCTATTAGATATTCAATCTTGAGATTGTCATAAGTTTTATCTGAAATGTTGAATTTCAATTAAATTAAAAAAAAAAAAATAATTCCAACAGCTGAATAGTTCCTTTAAATATTCTTTTAAGTTATTGATTTAATAAATTATCATTTTTCTACAGTCTAGACTATTATTGATTGAAATATGATGATTTTTTAAATACCAACCTTACAGGCAGCTTCGATTGTTTTACAAAGAGCACCACTACTGGGTTCACAATTAAAAATATGTGCTATGAATAAATCTTGGGCTGTGTGCATGATAAATGCACATTGTTTGACGTTTCTTCCAATGCCTAGGAAAGACAGGTAACGAACACGACACTCTGTTATCAGTTTTTCATCCTGAAAAAAACACAAGTAGAAATTAGATTATTGTTTTTTTTATTGAATGGTTTTTTTTTCTACTTGAATAACAAAATTATTTCAAATGTTTAAATGGATATCGTAATCAATAATCAGACATTAAATCTTTTATTTTAAATGGGTTGATGGAGAATAGCGTGACCGAGTGAAATGAATTATTTGTGACTCACATTGGGTGTCAGTATAGAGATCATGCTAGGTGCGACAGCTACGTTCACATTTCGCCACTGATTTATCGGAGTGTTTGTAACCATGTGGTCTATCGCATCGTTCAAAATTTCCATGCCTGTCGCAGCAGTCACTTGCATCGAGCCTAAATATTGTGCTCGCAGGACTTTTTTTGGCTCTTCCATTGGAGTTGGAAACGATTGCGCTGCAATAATATTTATTCAATTGAGTTATTTATTGATTTACTTATTTTTAAAAAATCAATTTCAACATTAGAAATTAATATGAATATTATTGGAGTAAAAATTGTATTTTTTAAATAGAATCTAATATAACCTAGTATGACTTACATTAATCTTTCTGTTTACTTTTCAAATAGAAATAAATCATTACTTTAATAATTATCATTGTTACTTTGTCACCCACTGGTTAGTAGTATTAAAAAAAAATTAATTCTATTTAAAATTTATTGCAAGTTATAATTATTTATTGATGCTCTTGAAACGGGAATATTAAAGCAGGTAAGACTGAGTGCAATAATTATTTGATAATCAAATATAATTAGATAAATTGGGACACATTAATGTTGATACTCACTAACAAGTGGTTGGTCATTTCTATGGAAACGACGATGTTCTGTAGGTAAATTTGTTGGTCTCGTGGCTAAACTAGTTCTACCATTGATGTCTACTGGTTTGGCGAGGTTTTGATGAAGCGATCGTTCGATCATAATTTTTTTGCAGATATCACGTAATGTATTGGCAATTGTACGAGCTGGTATGTCACATCTGAATACATGGCACATAAATTTCCGAGTCGATCTGTCTCTTGCCACATATGCAAAATCCCTGTGAAAACAAACGGTATTGTTATTTGTTTTTTTTTGAAGCCTAATCTTTTCATGAAATCAACGGTTTTATTGTAATTCAATTCTATTTTATTTCAAATTTATTTTTGGAAGAAGAAAAAATATTTCAAAGATAAAATGTAATTTAAGATTGAATTTAACTTCTGAATCTTGATTTTACAATAAAAATTTCCACTCAAACAATTTTCCTAAGAAATGTTAGGACACTAAACTGCCTATTTTCCCCACAAGTTATTTTTTACAATATTTTCTGAAGTTGGAAGTTAAGAGAAGTTAGAAAAACTACGTGAAAATATATGAAGTTACGTAAAGTATACTCGTAAATTTTTTCCATGTTTTTGTGTATCCTAAAATCCCTGACGTGCAATTTCTTATTTTTAAGGAGATTTTAACATGTTCAACAGAGTCTTTTTGCATGTTTTTCATTTTTCATGTCTAATAAAATGACATTCTAAAAGATTCATTTTGTTATAAATATATGAAAAGCACTTTCCTCGAGTATTTAAATTCCATCGATAATATTTATAAAATCAACATTATCCCAGGAAAAAGAAAGCAACCTATATAACTTCTTATGTGGAAATTTTTTTTTACATTATTTGCTTAGTAGTGAGTTACTCAGATACTGTAGAACTAATGTATAAGTTAATTAAACTCGTTTATACTCAATTTACCTCTCGCTGTTTAATCCACAGAAAATGGCAGCCATGTAATAAGCGTTAATTTATATTGAATAAACAATGTTTACCAAAGTATAAAAATATGCTAAATTTACATAATCTTTATTTACGTACCGTCCATGATCTCTACCTACACCCCATACCCTTAAAGTATGGATTGGTTGAGTGTTGAGTACTGTAAGATTCTCAGGATCAATTAACTTCAGAGCTCCTTCATCAAGATCCATAAAGAGATCTTTGCCCTAAATAATTTATTTTCCAATTATTATTTAAATCATATCATCAAAGTTAATATTCATATTATAATGAAAATACTTACATCTCCCCATCGTCCAACAACATCTAAGAGATCATTCCTTCCTAGAGATAAATCGACGATGCACTTATTTACTGCCTTAGAGCTTCTCTCTGGGGTTAAATCTTCCTCAGCAATTTCTGTCCAACCGAGAGATCGAACTGCAAATCTTATTGGTTTGTCTCTTCCCTCAGAGTCCGCTCGAGCTGGGAAACTTCTTCTCCTTCAATGATTAATCATTGGTTTAGCAAAAAAAAATTACTCGATAAAATGAACCTTTTTATTGAATAGAATACTTTCTTACTTCAGTGCTAATTCTTCTTTTCGTTTATTTTCTGCTTCTTGATCTAATGCAGAACTTGTGTTGCTACGTGTCACTGTATTGATTATGTTACCCAATGTGTGGAAATTATTAATCTGTAATAATAAATTTTATCAACTTCTGAACACTTTATCATGACAATAATCTATAATAAAATAAAGAAACTAAAAAGTTTTTTGTTTATTTTGTACGATCATGCATTGTTTCCTGTATTTTTATCATACTGTATTTTAGCTATAAGTTATTCACATTATACATTTGTTAGTCTAGTTTATTGCTACTTTATTTTATTAATTCAATAATGTAATGTTGATGATTTTCATCATCAATGTCTTTCCCTTTAGATCATTTTCTGTTGACTAATGATTGAATAGCTTTTATTCATTTGAATTCTTGAAATTGGATCAATGATAGTTTGGGCTGATGCGAGAAGCATGTAAAATAAATAGTAAAACATACACTATCGTTGTCTTTGACGAGGCTCCTACGATTTTCAGTCTTGGAGTTGAGTGATGCCTCTGGAGGTTCTCTTTGTATGGTTCCACTCTTAATGTGCCAGTAGTAGGGGCCATCCTTGTCTGAAATAGAAGAGAACGGAAGGCGCGTGTCAGTCACCTGTTGCGTTTCTCGTTTGGTCGATAAATTATTCGGGAGATCCGGGTGAGGCCTCAATGCGGAAACGCGACGGCTCCACAGACCGGAGAACCGGACTCAGACCATTTGCCTTGACTCACTAAATTGCATAGAGTAGTTACTCACCCTCATGTTTCTCCCAACCTGCTGGTAGGTTTTCATCCTTGTCTTCAGATCCAGGACTCTCGGACTTTTCTGTTGAATTTTGTGATTGATTTGTAATTATTTGATCTTTAGGTTGTCTACGTTTCACCGGCACACTGTAAACATCACTATTCAGGCCATCCTCTACATGTGGTACGCCACCCATCTCCGTTAGATCGTTGTCAGCTTTTTCACAATAACTTTAATCAAAATAACACAAAAGATAATTAGTATATCATTTATCTCATTCAGAGCTTAGATAAAATATTTAATTAGTAATTAGCATGCAATTAATTAATTGACATTGACTACTAGATCATTACGAAATAATTTGCAACAAAGCAAGCGTTTTTTTTAGATTAAATTTTTTAAATGATATAGAATCAAAGGTTATGGATTGATTTTTCTAATTATTTGAGCAGCAAAATTTTATTCGCAAATCAATTTATTTACAAGCTAATTAATTTATCAAAAACTTTTAATTATAATTCTAAAATAAATAACACAATTTTTTTGAGTTACAGACTATGTTTACTGTATTTAGATTAAAAAAATACATTTTAAGATGAAGGATAAGAAATAATACAAATAGCGTTTTTCTAAGTAGCAAATGAAATTTTCAATTGAACTTAATCAAAGTTCATTCAACTAACAGGGTTAACATTAGTTAGCAATGATGATATCAAATCTTCAATGATTACATATCCGAAGCCGTTAAACATAATGAGCAAAACGATAATCGTAGAGGAAAGCATTGAATAACGATTCAGAATGTTCGATAGTCTAACGACGTGGTCAATTGCTAGGGTTATCGTCATTCACCATTTGAAATGACCAATTGAATAGTACGTCGCGAGGGTGCGGGTTGCTCGTAAGCTTTTACGGCTCTCCTGGCTCGTGGTTAAACGAAATCGCCGATAAAACGCGTAAAAGAGAAAGTCAGAAAGAGAGAATGAAGTGAACCAGGTGAATCGTGGTGAATATTAACACAGACAAAAAGTAGCTTTTACCACTACCGCGAATTCCATTAGAGAGAACATTTAAAGAAGACTTTTTGTTATATATTTCACCATTATCGCGAGTGCTCATGTTGGAAACTTTTTTTGATGATATTAGTAATGGCAATCCGTTGATAAATTGAAAAATATCATTTAAACTTGATAATTTAATCTGCAGGAGAAAATATGATATTAGTTATAGGATGAAACTTTCTCGATATTATTTTGCTCCAAGTTTTATCAATTAACTTATAGTTTAATTTAAGTTTAATGTAATTATTTTATATTTTATATAAGATAAGTGTAACAGTAATAGAACATCTTGATATACTACAGTGTAATAATATAATTGATAACATTAACTGATAACATCATTTTATAATTTGTATTTGAGATCTTTTTTAATTAAATATCATTTACTTTATATTTAAATAAACTAGCATATTTAAATCATCATAAGTGATTCGGGGTGAAATATATTAATTATCAGAGACTTGTTAATATGTTAGAACAAACTTGATTTTTTCACTTATTAACGTGAATTCTTTCCAATAAATTACGACAAAATATTTCTACATTTATGAAAGATTGTTTTAAATAGTAGTATTATTTTAGTTCGGTCGTACACTAATCTTATTTTTTGTTTAATTACTGGTACATTTATCTTTATTAATAAATATTATTAGTACATTGCTGCAGATACTGAAGCATTATATAAGCACTACTACTTGAATTTAAAAAATATAAATTTATATTTATAATATAATAAATAATAATATGAAAATTTTTAATAATAATCGAGTTATTAATTCTACTCAACAAAAAAGAAAAAAATGATCAAAGTTTTGAACGAGGTCAACAAAAAAGCGACAGAAAAATTTACAACGACCAAAGTGGAGAGTCTCTGAGTGATATTATCTCTCTGTAAATATATTTGAGTCGTGAAAAGCTAGTGATAATTAAGAGCGACATAATTTACTGGTTTTTTTCATTGTCAGTGCAGGGAAATTTATAATAATAGTAATCAAAACAATATTTAGGTAGTAAGTTAGTACGACTTTTTTTTACAAGTACGTACTTTCTGAGGTCGGAACCACCGGCATCGAGGGTTACGGAAACATTTGACAGGGCCGTGGATGATGGTCGAGAATTCCCGTTGAGATTATCATCAACCAGCGTCGACTCGGCTACATCCGCACCCTCGCTGCCATACCTAAATCACGTATTTTTTTTTGAGTAATAATTTCATTGTTTTCATGTGAAATTTAACTACTTAATTATTCATAATATTTTAATCTTAACTAATGATCATTAGAAATAAAATCCAGGTTAATTGGTGTAAAAAATTGTTATTAAGTAAAACGATGACATTGAAATTTTTTTGTTTTTGGATAGAGATTACGTTGACTAATTACAATGCCGATTTATCTCTTAATTTACAAATGGCGAGCATTAGTCAAACCTTGGAGAAAAGTTTAACTTAATGTTTTGATGAATTATGTAGAAGATAAAATTTCGTTAGTTTAATGTATGAATTTTGTTTGTTTTTATTTCATGTAATTTTAATGAATATTAAGTATTATTTTTAGATTCATTATTTCAATTAAAAATTTGTAGAATTTATTCATGTCATAACTCAACTTTAATTAAATTTAACTGCAATTATATTACGTTATTTTGTTGATTTTAATTTTCAATTTTCTTCCCAACACAAATATTAATTCCGTCAATAAATAATCAGCATGAATTATTTATTTAATAAAATAAAGAAAAAAAAGACTTTTGAATAATATTGAATAAATTTTATAAAAAAAATTTTATCAAAAATAAAGTATATTTTTTGGAATTAAAACAAGTTTATTAAATATTCTAATTTTTTTTCGTTATTTAATGTTGTTACTAAGGAAACAGTTACTGAAATTTACGAGTAAAACAACACCAAAATTAATTAAAATAAAGTGAGAGTGTTCATATGTCTTCTTGGCACTCTCATCTTTCTGCTACGCAAACGTGTTCACTTGGGATAACTGCTTCTGGATAAGTGTAGCAATTTAATTAACGATAATAAAACCCGGCCAACAACGAAACAAGTTAGCATACACTTGCTAACCAAGCTTAAATAATTAAAGGATTAACTGAGAATGTTTGCCTACTATTGCCATGATATTACATTTTATTCTTATTTTCCTTCAAACTCACTTGAACTTTGCGGCTTCATTGAATTATCATTTATTTCACCTTCAGAGAGACCTTCAACCATCACATTTGTCATACTAGCCTTGAACTTTACGCTGGAAAAATTGTTTAGACCTTATTGTGTTACGTGGAAATTTTTTTCAAAGTTGAGAAAAAAAGAAAGTTGTAAAAAATTATTGGAATTTTTTTTTCTAATAATCTTTTATTCATATTGATTTTATTGGACTCTCTCGTAACAATTAAATTTTCCAGTAAAAAACAAGTAAAATAATTTTTTAAGAAAATTTAATAACCAGAAATGATTGAAATGTTGATATTAGAGCAATGTTAATATGTGATTGAGCTTAAAATAAAAAATATAATGAATTAGGTGAATTTGAGTGTTGCTGAATGAAGAATAACGTGATAAAAAGCATCATCACCAATTCAATAAAAGCCATTAGCAATTGAGTTTTATGAACGTTTAATAGAAGAAATAGGCGTCTTGACTACATGTATCAAATTAATGGTGAGTCTATATGCAAAACATATGAATTTACGGGCGTGTCGTGTCGGCCACAAAGTAGAATTACGTTCGCACGAAACGACCAGCAATTACCGTTCGTTCGTAAACGAAGGACTTTCGATTAGAGCTATCGATCTTTCGATACTATCAAATGTCTCGACTTTAATTGGGTCGAAAGCATTCGATGGAAATAATTTATGTGGTATTTTTTATTTACATAACTACGAGCAAACGTCCTGTTAAAATGATTCATGCGATAAAACAGCTTCGATAGAGTTTAGTACACAAGTAATTAGTTAAAATGGGTAATTCTCAACAAATTAATTGTTCAGGGAATCGAGAGAATTTAAATTCTTCCAAGTTTCCAAGTATGCAATATTCTTGCGCACGAATTCACTGCTGAATTGCAGGTCTAACAGAGATCTCCCCAGTCTATTGAACTGTGAAAAGTAAATGTAAAGGCAACTGCAGATACTCCGGAAGTGGTATCTATATTTACTACTTTACCAACGATTTCGGTTTATTCTAGTGTAGTCGATTGCTATTACGTTTTGTATAATGGACTTTGCTGAAGTACATTACTAGAGAAACCACATGTATACTCTATTTTCTATTCCTCCCTTGTTTCATGAAGACCAATAAATTATTTCTTCATACTATAATTATTTATTTTTAGCTCGCGTAGACTTTATTTACTCATTAATATTCACTAATTAAGTCAACATAATTTTATATTTCATTTTAATTCAGTTGCTGACTAAAAATAATTTCATTTTAGTTGGGAGGAGCTTTTGGGGTTAATCATTGTCATAAAGTTGGTCATTGATTCTAATCGTAAATGTTTTTATTACATTTACTACCATTTCTATTCATTTTTTAAAAGTTGATTGATAAATCCATTTATAATTTATTTTGATTGCGAGTTAATTATTAAATTAGACGAATTTTTTTAATTTTAAGCAATCAAATAAATTGTGTTTATTTTTCGAAAGCTTTTAACAGCGTTCAATGAAGTTTGAAAAATGATATTTGTCTACAAAGGGAGTTATAAACTCATTAATTTTAAATTTCATATTTTATTATTTCACATAAATAATATTGAAAAATTTAATTTAATACAATTATGCATAAAAATTTAATAATTTGATAAAAATATTCAAAGCTGATAGGGAAATTATATAAATGAAATTACTTATCTAATGTTGATGTTCCATAATGATAACTCCTAAAAAAATGTTTGTATAAAATAAAGAGAGAAATGGTAAAATTAATAAAAATGAAGTGATGCAATGTGTTCTTCGTGCATACATATCCATTCAAATTTCGAATATCCGTGGACTTTGTTCATGCACGGATGTTTTTCCAGCAATTCTTCTTCGTCATAGTAACTTCTTGAGCATATTTTGGAATAAAATAAAGAGATTCCTCGACGCGCGGGTTTTTCCGCGCGACGTGAATAAAAGTTGTTGTCTGTCTTTCTCCCTCATCTCTGGCAGGAGAAATGTGGGCGTCGGTAACGGCCTCGGCGTCGTTGGCGTCGGACGACGTTCATTCGATCAATACATACGGCACCGGCGCAAGCATCCCTCTCACTTCCACTTTTAACCCCTCCACATTTATGTTGGATTTGCCCTACGACTATCTCTCTCTATTGTATGTGCGCCTTTACTTTGCTAACCCTACGTCACTCAACTTACAAGTATACGCGCATTTTGCATCCCTCTTAACGTCTTCACGCCCCTCCCCCCTCGCCTAAAACTTGAATTTTCGATGTCAGACTGATGGAGCAACGTCTCATCCTGCCTCAACTGACTGCTTCTCTTTCAAAACGTGCACACGGCCTTGGGTAATTAAGTTTATGCTGATTTACCACCCTTCGATTCAACTCCCCATGCTCATCAACGTACCTTGGATATGTCTTCAGGGGCTAAATTTATAATGGTCCCTGTCGAAATTTTCCCTTTTTCATTTAATCCAATATACTAAGAGAAAATTGAAGAAATGATTTATTCAGAGATGACGGTGGAATAGACAATGTTACATAAAAAAATTATTTCCCTCAGTTAAATATACACAATTCCATCTTTTTTTCAAGATCATTATTTTTATTTATTTTTGTTTTTTTAGGTCATTCTCAGATGAATAAGTTTTATAAATAAATAATTAACATCAGATAATATCTGAAAAATGTTTATGATTTGAATATTCTATTTATTCTGTGTTTTTCAATCGGGTTGAGAAATTGTATTATAATTATAATTCAAAAATAATTATTCTGTCAATAAGGAAATAATTATATTCTCAATAATTTAAATGATAAAAATGAAAAAGTAGTCATTACTAGTTCATATAATTTTATATTTCTATTATATAATTTTTTTTTCATTTAAAATTGATTTTAAATAGAGAAATATGCATTTATAAGAAGGACAGCAGTGTGAATTATCAAAACATTCTATGAATGATGCATCTACTTGCAAAGTATTTTTGATCAATCCATAAATGGATAGTAGAGAAGAAAAGGAAAAAAAAGAGTTTGAATAAAAATTATTGGCAATTTTTTTTTATACAACTGTAGTATTAAATTTAAATTTGTAATGTTCTCTACGTGTTCCTAATTTATTTCCATGCAGTTGCAAGTTTTTAGATGACTATAAGTTCTCTCCATTTCATCTGAGACATTGTAATCTTCGATCTCAAAGCCTCGAAGTGCGATATATCTTAGCTGGAGTCTGATTCCAACGTGAGTCTTGCAAATATAGAATAGAGGGGCAAGGAGTTTATCAGGAACACGCGGAAAGGCTTCCGGAGTCTCACCGATTACGTCTTGCCGAGCTAACGGAAGAAACGGGGAGTGCACGTAAGAGATAGGGCGCACAACTGGAAAAGAAAAAAATGAATGGAAGTTAGTGGAGCACCAAAGCGAGAGAAAAGGGAATTCCATTTGGACGATTTATGGAGAGTCGCGGGTGTGCTCGGCAGTACTATGTACCTTCTCGCAATTTCATGATGCACCTCATACCATTGTGATGTCACGGAAAACCTGTCGACCTGATATTGCTACTGGATAGTAGTAGTAACGACCTCGTGTCGTCAGACGGCCATTTTATTGATGTCTATCTCTACTTTACCTATATTTCTTATGTTCTATTAAAGAGTGATTGATGATGAAAAATCGTGAAAAAAGTGTTTTAGCTAGAGCATCTATTCTGATCTATGCATAAAGAGTTAGAATGAAAAATGTTTAAGGACAATTGAGGTAAAACATTGGAAAATAAATGCAGATTAGAATGTAAAAGATAATAAAAGAATTTCTTTTTCTTTCTTTCATTGTTATGTTTATTAAATTTTTTTTAAATTTCTAAATTCCAATGTAAATAGTAGAGATTGCTTTTAGATTTGACAGTGTAAGATTTCGATAACAATTGAAAAAAATTGAACAATTTTTTTTTTTTTAGAGATACAATTTAAAGAGTTGAGAGATTTTTTTCCATTGACTCTGATTCCAGTTT